AGGTTGGCCATTATTTATTCATTTACAAGTTGTTGATATTTACTTACTCAGATGAAGGCCTTCCCTTGAGGGATTACTTTTATAATGAGACTTGCGTGATTGAGATTTTTTTTTTATTTCTTTGGACCTTTATTTGCACTTTTGGCATCTGTCAAAATATATCACCATAAATTCCCGTTTGGTCGAGGTTTCCACATAGATGGAAGTTTCCTCAGCACAGTGACTTCAATATCTATTTTGTTTTTGCTTTACCTCTGCCATAAGGATGTGTTGTTATTATAATCACCTTTGCCTAATAATGAGATAGGTCCCTCGGGCATCAGCTAGTGCCGTGGCATTTGGCATGGGGCTTTTTAGTGGGAAAGGAAATCTTGGACCACAACATCATCGAGCTTTTGCAGTTACAAGTGAAAGTCGTGCAAGTGATATAATGCTGAGATTTCATGATTGTTGCCAAAATTACAAGGTACATATTTTGATCTATTTTTTGGAATCCACACCCATACACGTGCTTACCTTGACATAATAGATGAACTTAAGGTTGTATTGAAAACATCTTTTGAGTGCTTGGACTGTAATAATCTTGATATTTGTCATAGGAATGGCAATGATATGACAAGACAGCATAGATTCGAGTTTTCATATTCAGCATGGGGTTTGGTAGTATTGTTTAGCAGTGTAGTATGACTTTACTGCCTATACATTGGTTGAGTACCAAACTTTTACTTTTCCTTGGACATTGCTTTGGTGCTATTCTGACCATTTTGCTCATCTGTTAAACAGTGCCACCTAAAGAAACTTTATAGACTATGCGACCAGTCAAAGAATACTATGGATTGTTGTCCCATGAAAATCACCTATGTCGAATATGATATCTCTATCCACCTAAACCAAATGTAAGGTTTCCAAGATTATGCTTGTGTCAAGAACTTTTGGGTTGCATTGCTCCTCAAAAGAGGAATATACCACTTATTTCAACTTGTGATTTTGACCAATGGAGGCTGAAGTTTCATCCTTTTGCTTCCCAATTGACTCCCTTGTAGAAGAAAAGAGTCAGCGAAAGCCTTTAAGGACTGGACAGTGGCTTCCAAATAATCTATTTGTGAACCAAATGCTTCTTTCATTGCATATACATCTTGTTTAAAACTTCGAGCTCTGCTTGCAACTCATTATCACTCACACCTTCCATGTTTTAAAGTTAGACTGTGGCAAAAAAATAGGATCTTCGAGCTCTAATGACAAATTGATGCAGGACAAATGTGGGAAACAGCCTCCTACTAAAAGATGCCACCTAATTAGATATGGGCAGTGGAAGAAGAGGTTATCTAAAGTCGGATTGTGGACTGTTTATTTTATGTTTTGGATTGTGGACTGGTTTGTAGCAAAAAAGGTTGGTAATATATTGGGCTTTTAGGGTTTGATAAAATGTGAGAAGTTAATGGGGTTTGAAGTTGAAATGGGGCAAGATTGAGTAAGATCTGGTCATTTTTTGGGAACGTGAACAGTAATAGAAGCTACTTTATGGTTTTCAATTGTATTAAATTGAAGTTCTAAGGTGAGGAGGATTGGGATTTGCACTATAAGTTTTACATGGTTTCAAAGAAAGGTGAAACAAATCTAGTTATTGCTTTAGGTGACTTAGATTGCAGAATATTTAGAGAAGACGAGGAGGGGCAGGAGGAGGGGGGAAAAGAAAGAACCATACACCATCTTCAGACGAGTTATCACAAAACACAATCACAATCCTCCTAAAAATCAACTTGATCGAATCAATGGGAATAACTGCCATAAGATAAATGTGAAGATTGAAGAAGTTGAGAGATTATGGGATAGATTTCATTTCTTGGCTTCTTTTTGGACTTCAACGACTAAGGATTTTGATGACATACCTCATTTTTGTAGCAGAGCTGGCTGGAAAGCCTCATGCTTGTACATTGATTTTTTTAATTTTGTTGTTTTTCCACCGTTTGTGTTGGACTTCTNAGAGAGAAAAAAAAATGAAAGATAAAATAGATTTTAGTCAAGTGGGCCAAAAGTTTTATTTTTTAATAATGGTGGGCAAAAAAATTTATCTTTAATCTTGGCCCAAAAATTTTGTTTTTAATATTGTGCTAAAAGTTTTATTTTTTTAATAGATATTGATAGATTATGATAGGTCAAATATTTGATTTTTTAATAAGTTTAGATAGATAATAGTGAGTTCAATTTTTTTTGTTTTAAATAGACTTAATTTTTTAATTGTTTTGGGTAAATAATATTAGTCTNCTTGTCCCCCATTGATTCGACTTTTAGTTATTAATAAAGTATGTTTCTTATCCAAAATAAAAAATAAAAAAAAGNCTTGTCCCCCATTGATTCGACTTTTAGTTATTAATAAAGTATGTTTCTTATCCAAAAAAAAAAATTAAAAAAAAANTGTTTTTAATATTGTGCTAAAAGTTTTATTTTTTTAATAGATATTGATAGATTATGATAGGTCAAATATTTGATTTTTTAATAAGTTTAGATAGATAATAGTGAGTTCAATTTTTTTTTGTTTTAAATAGACTTAATTTTTTAATTGTTTTGGGTAAATAATATTAGTCTAATATAAATGAGGGGGGCACACTTAATATATATGTATAAATATATAATACATATATCTAACTAATAAAAAAAAAATTGAGTGAGGCACGTGCTCACCCTGGCCCTTACCTCCTTCCGCCTATGGTTGCTCCTAATGAATGGGTGGTGTGGTGAGGGTGGAAATCATGTTGGACCGCCAGTACACTCGTAGATGTGTGTAGAAGTTTTAATTAAGACGAATTATTCAGGCTCGATTTATATAAAATTCGGTTCGAACTCAATTAGTGTTCTAAATGGTCGAAAACTAATTTGAAAAGTTTGGCTCGTTTATATATAAAATAGTTGAATTACTCAGACTTGAGTTTGCCTTAATTTTTAAATGAACTAAGTTTAAACAATTTTTTTAACTTATTTTAAAAAAAAAATTCGTCAAACTCATATTCAAATTCGCAAAACTTAATCCGATTAACAATTTTGTACGCGTAAGATGATGCCTATCATGCCATGAGTTGCAGACCATGTAAATTTGGACTTTATGGGATCTACTAGTCCATTGTACCTTGGACAAGTATCCAAGAGTCATGGGCCTTTTTGATCTAAAAAAGGTAACACTGTTAAATGAATTTTTGTTTGGGAAACAGGTTGTATGAAGATCAAATTCGTGCCCTTTAAATTTAAAAGGTCGGGAGAGTGGTTGATTATTATGCCAAAATGAATCGAGTCACTTAAATTTGGCTTCATTTCAAACTTGGTCGAATGTGATTAATTTTTAAACTAATTTAGTGTTTAAGGCAAACAAAAGTGATGTTTACATTGGTGAATTTTTACTTTTTTTTTTTACGTACCAAAATAATTTTTACTTTTATAAAGCCATCTTCTAATTTTTTTCCTTTTGTTGTTAAGTCAACGCAACTCAACAAATTTTTAATTTTAATTTATTTAAGATCAGTTGCAAGAATTCTATTTTTTTTATTAGGCTATATCAAAAATAATATGTTTGGTTAGACCATAAATTATTATATTATTTTATTTACAATTATTTTAATTTTGCATTTACCTCTCACATTATCATTGAAAATGTATCAAATCATTTTCCCTCATAAGTGCATTATTAGGTCTTCTATAAGCATATCCAAATTCCTTAAATTGATTTTCTCTTAATTTATAGTTTAATAAGGGTAACCTGTGCTTAAAAGTACAATTCAATGTAAATGATTTTGAGAGAAATATTAGTGATTGTTGAATAAATTTATTTGAAATCGTCAGATAAGATTATTGAAACTTGTCTTATTTTATATTATATAATTTATGTTGCTTCTTCGATTTTACGAATATACTAATTTTTTAATTTTATCACACATTCATCTTAATATTCTTATATTTATAATAATTAATTTTTGAGCGTATTGTTTCATACTTACTTACCTACCATTCCATTTCATATATTGATCTAATGACGGTCATATGTATGTCAATCACATGTCATGCTTCAACTCTATGGTTAACACCATCTTCAATCTCTCTCTTTATTAATAATTGATCTCAAAATACATACAGTACTCGTCATTTGAGTATTTATTTGTTCACGAGTATTTCTTGATTTTCGATTTTTAATATCTCTTTTAGGGGTGTCTATGGGTGGGCCGGGCTGAATAGTGTAGGCCCATGTCGTTATTCAAATGAATTATTGGCGTGGCTCGGGCTTGGCTTCGAGTAGGGGTAGACTATCTGTAGTCTAACCCGTGAGTCTATTGGACGGGCCTACTTGCGGGTTTTTTTATATACATATTTATTTTAAAAATAATGAATATTTTTATAACTTAATATTTATGTAAATTATATTTTTGAGTCAAAATAGATAAAAATAAAATAATGAACTACATTAAATAAAATGAATAAATCTCAACTAGGTTGACACCTACTAATTTATCTGTCATTTAAAACTTATATGTTTAATACATGTAAAAAAAAAATACATTATTTATAATATATAAAATTTTAAAATTTCAAATTTTGATACTGGAAGACTTATTCAAAATTTTAAATTTAATGATTTAAAAATATAAATTTTTTTTAAAGGAATGGAGGGTTTAGTTGGGCTTGCGGGCGGGACTCTTGGGTCGGACTTCAAGTCAGGTAATGAGTTTGGAAATAAATCCAAGCCCTCTATTTAAAGATATAGGGCTCAGCTTCGGGCGGTCCAACTATCTGGTCTATCAGATTTCAAATCTATTTTTTTTTAAATCGGATAATAAGACCTGCGAGTAACCCCCCCCCATATTTATTTATTTTTTTGTATTGCGGTAATAAGTAATAACTCGGACACTGCGAAGCAATTTAATTCCATGTACCTCGTAGTACCAAATCCAGAAACAAAAGATTGGCTCATCCTTTTCTGTATTTGTCCAATCCGACACGAGAGAGAGAGAGAGAGAATGGGAAAGGAAGCCATGCCTGGTTTTGTGCTACTGTTCTTGTTGTTGTTGTTAAGAGTATTGATACACTCAGACGCTGACGAAGAAGGATTCGACGTTCGCCAACATCTCTCAACTGTCTCTAGGTTTCTCTCTCTTAACATCTCTCTCAACAGTGAAACATTATTTTGTTTATTTTCTGTGTTTTTCCTTGAGTTTTGTTTTGCATTTGTTGGAATTTCAGATTTCTTCGCTTATACAACAATTGGGAACATTTCGAGTAGTTTTAGAGCCCGATCGTGGCATGAATTGAAGAGCTTATGTATCTGTGTAGAGAAATCTGTGTCTATCATTATATATCTATCGTATCATTGTTTATTTCCCAAAAGATCTTGTAATCTCTCTAGCGGTTTTTGAATGATGAAATTCATGAGATTCAAATTTACAGAGCAATGACGAGATAAAGACGTGGTCAAGTATTCATTTTTTTCGGACTTTTTTATGGTATTCATTTGAGCACATATTGTTACCAGAAGCACATATTAACATAAATAGCTAACATGCTCATTTTATTGTTTCCACTGGAATTTTTTAACTGATTACTTCTTTCTATTTTGTTTTCCAGATATGATGTTGTGAAAGACATTTCTGACAATTCTTTTGTTCCTTCCAAGATTCCAGATCAATGTACTCCTATCCATTTAAATCTTGTGGTAATCCTCACTTACAACCTCAGAACTGATATTGGGAATGGCTAGTATTTAGGGTGTGTGCATAGGTTAGAGAATTGAACACTATTAATTGTTGAAGTATATATATTTAAGTTACACCCTCTCCAATAGGTTAAGCATTTGGAGTAGATGGTTGTTTAACATTAACAAGTGCCACAGCCTTAAATTCCATGCAGATTGGCTATCAGATGTGTTACTTGTTGGAATAATATGTTTTTATTCTGGCATTTGTGTTATACAGTCTTGTAAACAGTCACATTTGATTTGGCCCAACATTAGTAGAGAAGCTGAAAACTTCTACTGCGATGTGTTGATATGGTATATGCTGCATAATGCTTGCATTCTTCCTGCAGTTATCCTTGTGGATTTTCCTTCTTTTTTTTTTGTTATTTACATTGATTTCAGCTAGTATAGTCATGTTATAATGAGTGGTTTGATTCAGAATTTGTCTTCGTAACCAAAAAATATGGAAGCACAGGCAAGGCATGGAACTCGTGCCCCTACAAAGAAAAGGATGCGGGAATTAGAATCTTTAGAGGCCCACTTGGAGGTCCTTCTACAAGATGCAAAAGAACTGAAATTGCCTTTGCAGAAAGTTCCTGCCTGGTTATGGAAATGGGAATCTCCTTGGAGAGGTAAGCATAAAGGTGGAGAAATTACTAGTGAAGGAGAAGCTGAACTTTTTAATCTTGGGATCAGAAGCAGAGAAAGATTTCCTGAACTGTTTAATGAGGATTACCACCCAGATGTATATCTCATAAAAACCACCCAGGTTGGCCATTATTTATTCATTTACAAGTTGTTGATATTTACTTACTCAGATGAAGGCCTTCCCTTGAGGGATTACTTTTATAATGAGACTTGCGTGATTGAGATTTTTTTTTTATTTCTTTGGACCTTTATTTGCACTTTTGGCATCTGTCAAAATATATCACCATAAATTCCCGTTTGGTCGAGGTTTCCACATAGATGGAAGTTTCCTCAGCACAGTGACTTCAATATCTATTTTGTTTTTGCTTTACCTCTGCCATAAGGATGTGTTGTTATTATAATCACCTTTGCCTAATAATGAGATAGGTCCCTCGGGCATCAGCTAGTGCCGTGGCATTTGGCATGGGGCTTTTTAGTGGGAAAGGAAATCTTGGACCACAACATCATCGAGCTTTTGCAGTTACAAGTGAAAGTCGTGCAAGTGATATAATGCTGAGATTTCATGATTGTTGCCAAAATTACAAGGTACATATTTTGATCTATTTTTTGGAATCCACACCCATACACGTGCTTACCTTGACATAATAGATGAACTTAAGGTTGTATTGAAAACATCTTTTGAGTGCTTGGACTGTAATAATCTTGATATTTGTCATAGGAATGGCAATGATATGACAAGACAGCATAGATTCGAGTTTTCATATTCAGCATGGGGTTTGGTAGTATTGTTTAGCAGTGTAGTATGACTTTACTGCCTATACATTGGTTGAGTACCAAACTTTTACTTTTCCTTGGACATTGCTTTGGTGCTATTCTGACCATTTTGCTCATCTGTTAAACAGTGCCACCTAAAGAAACTTTATAGACTATGCGACCAGTCAAAGAATACTATGGATTGTTGTCCCATGAAAATCACCTATGTCGAATATGATATCTCTATCCACCTAAACCAAATGTAAGGTTTCCAAGATTATGCTTGTGTCAAGAACTTTTGGGTTGCATTGCTCCTCAAAAGAGGAATATACCACTTATTTCAACTTGTGATTTTGACCAATGGAGGCTGAAGTTTCATCCTTTTGCTTCCCAATTGACTCCCTTGTAGAAGAAAAGAGTCAGCGAAAGCCTTTAAGGACTGGACAGTGGCTTCCAAATAATCTATTTGTGAACCAAATGCTTCTTTCATTGCATATACATCTTGTTTAAAACTTCGAGCTCTGCTTGCAACTCATTATCACTCACACCTTCCATGTTTTAAAGTTAGACTGTGGCAAAAAAATAGGATCTTCGAGCTCTAATGACAAATTGATGCAGGACAAATGTGGGAAACAGCCTCCTACTAAAAGATGCCACCTAATTAGATATGGGCAGCGGAAGAAGAGGTTATCTAAAGTCGGATTGTGGACTGTTTATTTTATGTTTTGGATTGTGGACTGGTTTGTAGCAAAAAAGGTTGGTAATATATTGGGCTTTTAGGGTTTGATAAAATGTGAGAAGTTAATGGGGTTTGAAGTTGAAATGGGGCAAGATTGAGTAAGATCTGGTCATTTTTTGGGAACGTGAACAGTAATAGAAGCTACTTTATGGTTTTCAATTGTATTAAATTGAAGTTCTAAGGTGAGGAGGATTGGGATTTGCACTATAAGTTTTACATGGTTTCAAAGAAAGGTGAAACAAATCTAGTTATTGCTTTAGGTGACTTAGATTGCAGAATATTTAGAGAAGACGAGGAGGGGCAGGAGGAGGGGGGAAAAGAAAGAACCATACACCATCTTCAGACGAGTTATCACAAAACACAATCACAATCCTCCTAAAAATCAACTTGATCAAATCAATGGGAATAACTGCCATAAGATAAATGTGAAGATTGAAGAAGTTGAGAGATTATGGGATAGATTTCATTTCTTGGCTTCTTTTTGGACTTCAACGACTAAGGATTTTGATGACATCCCTCATTTTTGTAGCAGAGCTGGCTGGAAAGCCTCATGCTTGTACATTGATTTTTTTAATTTTGTTGTTTTTCCACCGTTTGTGTTGGACTTCTTGTCCCCCATTGATTCGACTTTTAGTTATTAATAAAGTATGTTTCTTATCCAAAATAAAAAATAAAAAAAAGTTGGGAATAACTACAATCCAAACTTCATTACTTGACCCAATTTATGACCCATGGACTATGGCTGCGACTCATATCCAACATTTATTGAGATGGCCAAAATACCCTTGACGCCAAAAACTATTCAAAGCATGGATAAATCTGACCAGCAATATATTGTTGACTTTAGGAATTACATAATGATTCTATGAATTACTACAGACATCTTTCGCTAGACCACAAATATTTTTGGCTTTCGGTGTGGCGCATAGCTCTTGCTTTAGGCTTCGAAAGCCAGTGGTACTTGCCCAACCAAATAATATGTTTTGCATCATCAAAACTTGATGGGTAGTGATATATAATTAAGGTTAACAAGAACTTCCAAAGGAACCAGACGATTTTAGCAAATATGATGTCAGAGGTAATGTAAGGTTGAGCCTTTCGCTGATGTCACAGACCGAAACTCAAATGCTATATCTATATCATTAGTGTCTATTTTCAAGTGTTTGAACACAGTTGCTATACCTTTTATCTGTGGATGCAGGCTTTTAGGAAAAGTCAGGAGCCTACTGTTCATAAACTTAAGGAACCCATCTTAGATGAGATTATGCGTGCATTAGTAAGGCGATATGAGCTAAATTTTACAAGGCAGGATACCTCTTCCCTCTGGTTTTTATGCAAACAGGTCTTTACTCTTCCCTTTAATGAGGCCTCCCACACATACTAAACATGCTTCTCTGATCTGATGTGTCTTTTTTGGTAATCGTCCCTATTGATTTCGAATTTGGCAGGAAGCATCCTTATTGAACATAACTGGTCAAGCTTGTGCTTTGTTTAGCCCTTCTGAGGTAAGTAACTGCAGTGCTTGTTAACTTGTTTTGATAATTATCCCATCTGCTTATGCATAGGTTATTCCCTATATATATATATATGTGGATGGTTATTTGGTCTATATGGTTGTTGTGTTGCAAATTAAGCCTATTTCTAGTATCATGGTAGTTGGCTGTGATATTTGTTGGAGCTTGTATGTTTTCTTGCATTCTTTATGCTTACTGACTTGCAGCTTACGCACATTTTTAGGTAGCATTGTTGGAGTGGACAGATGATTTGGAGTTGTTCATATTGAAAGGTTATGGTAATTCATTAAACTACCGAATGGGGGTGCCACTGCTCGAAGATGTTGTTCAGTCCATGGAGCAAGCTATTAAGTCTAAGGAAGGTAAATCTCTTGAACATGGTATATCCTATGTCCTCTCATGTTTTGTTCTTTTCTTGAAACAAACATGGGCAGCAATTTTCTTCAGGTTTGAAATTCTGATGGGAAGTCATGAATGAAGGAGCTTAATTGATTGATTGTGATCTCTTAACCCTGAGGGAGTGTGGTTCCAAAAGGGTTGGCATGGACCACAAATGATAACTAGCAGGCTAAGCATAAACTGGGTTCTAATAATATTATAACTAGGGATAACCTGTGCATGAAGGCACGGTACAACGTAAACCAACCAGTTAATTCTCCAAAAAAATTAATTTAATTTCCTTTAATTTAAGCAATTGAAATTAATATAGTCCCCAAATATTATTTGGAGACTATTTCGGCAAAGTTTACTTTAAAAATAAGAACCTAGAAAAATCTCAACCTATCTACAAAAATCAAAATTTCTTGAATGCACAATACAATCAAATCAAAGCTACAAATTCAACTTGGTTTCCTTTGAAAATAGAAGATCATAAAATACTAACCTATATACAGAACAGAAAAACAAACGAAACAATCCCCTAAGTTCAACGATTTATACCCAATCACCTAAACAATCAGTAATTTCACATCAAGTTAATCATATCCTCATAATCGTGAAATTAGTTTACCANTGATATCGAGTCACTCGGTATTTACGGGTATTCCGCGGGTTGATGGGTAATCAACGGGCCCCCGGATTTTGGGGTGTCACAAATATAAATGAGGGGGACACACTNCAGTAATTTCACATCAAGTTAATCATATCCTCATAATCGTGAAATTAGTTTACCACGCAAATTCGATTAAGTTGATATAGTAATTGTCCTTGCATAAAGACACGAAGTAACGAAAACTTGAATTAGAACTCAAAAAATATTATTGTGCCTAAAGGCACTTTGCAACCTAAAATAAATGGTTAATTTGAAATGATTTTTTCAACATTTGCTTTAATTAAATAGATTGAAATCAATCAAGCCCCCACTAATTTTTCAAAAAATTTGGCAAAATTTCCTATAAAAATAGGAGCTCAAGAAGATTTCAACCTGTCCACAAAACTCACAATCATACAGAACAATCATAATAATGCCTCGTACCACTACAATTCAATTCTATTTTNTAGGTTGACACCTACTAATTTATCTGTCATTTAAAACTTATATGTTTAATACATGTAAAAAAAAATAATACATTATTTATAATATCTAAAATTTTAAAATCTCAAATTTCGATATTGAGAGACTTATTCAAAATTTTAAATTTAATGGTTTAAAAATATAATTTTNATCATCATACATCACAACTTAATTCCATACTCAACCATAAATTCACATCAAAACCAAACATANTTCGATATTGAGAGACTTATTCAAAATTTTAAATTTAATGGTTTAAAAATATAATTTTTTTTTAAAGGAATGGCGGGTTTAGTTGGGCTTGCGGGCGGGACTCTTGGGTCAGACTTCGGGTCAGGTAATGAGTTTGGAAATAAATCCAAGCCCCTTATTTAAAGATATTGGGCTCAGCTTCGGGCGGTCCAACTATGTGATCTATCAAGTTTCAAATCTATTTTTTTTAGACCAAATAATAGATAATAGGACCTGCCAGGAACCCCGNACACACAAATCCACATAGTTATGCCTAAACAAAAATAAGAAATAAAATTAAAGAATGACCAAAATACGTAATTATATATAGTATATTTGTAAAATGAGTCATTCTTTAATCTATTTTATCAAAATGAGTCATTTATCTGCACATAATTGTAAAAACAATTTCTCCATCACAGCCTTGAATGTAATTGTATCAATCCAAATCCGTAGCTTCCAACTCGGAGAATGTACAACAATCTAACATTTACAAAAACAGTTAAATTTAGTACACGATAGGAATTTTAAAATTATAAACTTGAAAATATAAAATAAACTATAAAAAATAAATTTAGTTACCTTATTCAAACAACCCCATCAAAAAAGATGGGTTGCATTTAGTCTTTTTAACTCCTGCACTGTTTTATCCCAATTCTATAAATGAAATAACATAAATAAAACGTTTGATCAATAAAATAATATTGTTAAAATGTTAGCAATGTAATACCACTTGGAACGAAGTACTTACCTTTTCCTTGTTAGAAGAGGTTGATATTCTTTTTCTTTTACACTTTGCATTTGCAGTAACGACTGTTCTTTCCTTTGCCTTTTAGATAGTAAGCATAAATAAGTAAAATCATTATATAGAAAAAAAAAGTCTAATCTATAAACAAACTGATGTGTCATGACACTACCTCAGAAATGAGGATGTCATTGAGTTCGCGTTCATCGCGGATCACAACACCAATATTTTTTTTCTTGAGCAATTGAACCTATACATGAATATGCATTTAACAGGTAAATGAACACAAACTATATGAGAAAAAATTAGTAAGAATAAGAGTGATATGAAACTTATCTTACGGTTTGCTCTAAGTTNAGCAACAACATACGAAGATTAACGTTCCTGCTAAGGGCACAGGATGTAACAGCCTGCATCAAGCAGGCCACAAAGTTTATTAATGCTCCTTTCTAATCACACATGCCTTTTAACATCAACATTTTAAAACGTGGATGTTTCAAGGCAAAGAAATTTATGTAGCTCCCAGGGAATGTAAGCTGTCAAAGTAGAGATGTGGCCAAAGGNCACGACCAAAAATAGTGAGATATTTCTTTTTTCAATGTTGAGAGTTTGCAGTGGTGGTTAGTACACTATGATGGCTGCAAATATAAGAAACAGAGTAAATCAAAAAATTAGAAATATTCGTTAAATACACATATTCATACTACTTGACATACAATCTCTATCAATTAACACACAATCTACCTCTATTTCATACTTCATAGGAATCCAACATTACTGAAAAACAAATGTGCAACCTTCTTGGAACAAAGTGCATTGGTATGCATAATTGAAAAACAAAATCAAACAAAAACCNATTTTGCGGTTATGAAAAAAATAAAAAAAAATAGATGTTTAAACTCACACGACCAAAAATAGTGAGATATTTCTTTTTTCAATGTTGAGAGTTTGCAGTGGTGGTTAGTACACTATGATGGCTGCAAATATAAGAAACAGAGTAAATCAAAAAATTAGAAATATTCGTTAAATACACATATTCATACTACTTGACATACAATCTCTATCAATTAACACACAATCTACCTCTATTTCATACTTCATAGGAATCCAACATTATTGAAAAACAAATGTGCAACCTTCTTGGAACAAAGTGCATTGGTATGCATAATTGAAAAACAAAATCAAACAAAAACANTGTTCCTTGACCCAAATTTGATTACTTTGGTCTTTCATCATCCAAATATCAACATGTGATCTGCATTGCTTGAAGTCCACTAAGCATAGCGACCCTTTCATTGATAGCAGGCGAACACAGTTATCAAAAGGGCCTGAATAAGCACGGGGACACAAAACGATTTCATATTCTTCCGTAGCCAAATCGAAAGCATATATGTTCATAGGGTCTCCACTATTTATGTGTTCATCTCCAAACCAATAAATTGATCCATTCAAGCAGATTGGGAATCTACTATCAATGATAAAATGAGGGGAATTGGCATTTGATCCAAGACCCTTGAGCAGATACCCAGATATAAGTATGTGGATCGGAGAGGTCATTCTTTATCAGTGCACTGAAGTAATGATCATGTTTCCTTTAGGCGATCCATGGAGGGAAGGTGTGTTTTTACCAATGGAAAAGGTTCAAAGGGAGCAAACTTCACATTTGAAAATTCTGATTTTGCAATTCAAACATCTTGTACAATTTTCTTTGCCTAAACTCTCTCTCATTTACACCAGGTATTTACCAAAACTTACCAACAAGTACCCAGTGATAAAATCCAACAGCATTCTATGATCATCATATGACACTGCTTACCTTTTGGAAGATAGGATATTCAGCCTTAAATCTAGTACAAGCAAATTCCTGCGCCACCTGGCTTGTCCCGGGCTCTTGTTTCATGAATTGATTGCATGGAAATGCCAAGATCTCAAAATCTGATATCAAAACACATAAACACATACATAGTGAAGTCTAAGCAAATGTTCTAATAAAATAACCAAAGCCTAAACATGTATGATTCTCTAAAATGGTCAAAAGCAATTTATATATGAAAAACATGAACATGTTTCATGAACAACCTAATATAATGAGCAATCAAGCAAAAATTAATCAAACATCAATTTACACACCCAGACACCCCAATAAACATTTAACTTGAGAAAGAAACAAAAAACAAAGATAATACAAGTCATGGTTATTTCATGGTTTTCTTAAAAATAACAAAATCAAGCAAAAGAAATCATAGGTTTTTGAAAAGTTCATACCTTTATTCTTGTATTGTCGTACAGCTCAGTCAACTGGGTATAGTTGGATTGTGTAAACCCACTGTTACAGCACCCACACAGAAAAATCAAACCTCACCCATTAAGAAAAAAAAAGAGTACTTATAAAAATTGAGCTNGCAGCTACAGAAACCTCATTCCTCTAAAGAATTGGACAAAAAAGCTCAACCCCCCTTGCTCGACTATAATCCCAAAACCCCTAAATAAGTAATACGATGAGGCTTAGTTTGATTGCAAGAAAAAGCATTAATATGCTGTCCAAGAGGCACTTTGAGAGCTAGATGCGAAGCTATCATCACCATCTTAGCCTCCATCAGAACCCAAAAGAGCATTATTGACATCGTCGAAGCCTTAAATCCCATCTTCAATTCTCCATCTATGTTCAAACTCTTTCAACGTATCCAAATTTTCCATCACCTCGCAAAGATTTCCCCCTCTTCTATACTCCTTGATTCATAAGCATTCATCAATCTTGCTTACTCTTCTACACCCTTTAGTGACCCAAGAACCCTTACCCACCCTTCTTCAAGCATCTACCTCTAACGCCAAAATGGCCCTAATCTATTTTATCTTAGCACAGGCGATGTTATAAGGGTCATGGGGCATCTGGGCATGGATCGAGGTAGGCAATACCTTAAAACAATCCAAACCTTTTGCCTTGCCCACAAAGGACTTCGAACACTAACCTCAACGAGCATATTAAACGACCCAAAAGCCAATTGGGCTTTATGAAATCTTGCAATAGAAAGCCCAAGTTCATTTGTGTTAAGAATAGTAGGGTAGTATATATAAATTGTTAATAGTAAGAGGGTGTATGTGTAATTTTTATTATTGTAGGTTAACTATAAATACAAGTGATTGATGAGAGCTAGGTTAAGTTTTAATCTCTCTGTTTCTCTCTAATATTGTGTTAATTCTCCACACTTAACATGGTATCAGAGCGATTACGATCACAACTATATTTTAAATAAATTAATTCTATTTGTGAGTACTGTGGTGGTGCCGGTGTTTGTTGAAGCATAAGAGGAGGTGGTCTGTTTGTGGTACTGGTGTGGTACCGTTGCTTGTCGAAGCACAGTGGTGGTGGTGGTGATACTGTCATCGTGGTTTTGGTGTATGTCGATTAAATCGGTGGTGGTGATACCGTTGTGGTGGTCTGTTCTTCGCCGCTGTCTGTTATTCATCGTGGTGGTTGCCGCAGTTGTGGTGGTGGTGTTAGTTGTTGTGGTGGGTTGCCGTTTGTAGTTGTGGTGAGGCGCAGTCAAGACCAAGGTTCACTGCCGGAGTTGTGGTGGTGGTGTTAGCTGTTGTGGTGGGTTGCCGTTTGTAGTTGTGGTGAGGCGCAGTATAGACTAGGGTTCAGTAAAACCCTAATCAGCGAACGGAGAAGACAAGGTCCAGACCCTTGTCCAGATCCGATCCACCTCGATCCAACCCGGTTCTAATCCAGCCCAATTAAATCGGGTCCAACCCCCGGTCTAGCCTAGACCGAATCAATCCCGGTTCGGTCCCAGTTCATCTGTCCAGTGAGTGTTTGTAGTCCGATTCAGATAGTTCTGCACCGATTCAGTTAGTTTTCACCCCGGTTCAGCGGTCCAGCGTGCCTAATCAGTCCGATTCAGTGATTCAGTGAGCTAAACCAGCCCAGTTCAGTGGTCCTGTCCCAGCAACAGGCTGTTCCATCTCCATCCATTGCTATTTTTGCCCAGTCAAGTACTGTTTTCACATGTTTATTGTTCTCCACTCATAGACCTTGGATCATAGACTCTGGCGCCTCGGACGATATGACTGGTGCGTCTGACNAAACCAAAAATAAATGGTCATTGCCTTATCAAATTAGAAGCCTAATGTGATCACTAAAGCCACATATCAATTCCGACACTTTCTTCATAGTTTACTATACTGAAATTGTTTTGAATAGATTATATCATGTTCTCCTCTCCTCTTGAATTGGGTGATCGAGTTTTGAGATTATGTAATAGTTATAGTTGTTTGTTGCGATGATAAGATATTTTGTTGCTTATTAGTTCTCATTGGCTACCTGTTGTCCTCTATTTCGAGTTTCTGCAGATTAGTATCACNAAGATTGGTACAGGGCATGAAGCTGGTGGCCTATATTATCTTGACTTTGATTCACCTACCCGAGCTCTACAAACCTTGTTGTCTCCTTTTCAATGACACTGTCGTCTTGGATATCCCTCTCTCCAGAATCTGAAGCGTCAAGTTCCCAGTCNTTCTGCAGAGTAGTTTTAGCTATAGTGAACTGCTAAATATAATCCGTTAAAAAAAACAAAAAAGAAGAACTGCTAAACATATATGATCATGGTGATTTGTCCAAAGATCTGTCATAAGCCTAAAATTATTCCTTGATGAATGCTTTGGAAAATAAAGAAACCAAGGAAAGATGTGTGATGATTGCAAATTATTGGGCTTTGTATCAGTTTTCTGCTTGATCTGGGTAGAATCCACAGATTATGAACTCTTCAACTTTCTTGCATGGTAAAGAATCAGTGNTTTGGTTGTCGTATACGTACTTTACGTTCCGATAATGTTCGAGAATATGAATCTGATACTTTTTCAACTTATCTTAGTAAACTTGGCATTATTCATCAAACTTCTTGTGCTTACACCTCTCCACAAAATGATGGTGTTGAACGNATGCTTTGGAAAATAAAGAAACCAAGGAAAGATGTGTGATGATTGCAAATTATTGGGCTTTGTATCAGTTTTCTGCTTGATCTGGGTAGAATCCATAGATTATGAACTCTTCAACTTTCTTCCATGGTAAAGAATCAGTGGCCAAATTGCAATCAGTCAAGTTTATTCAAGTAGACCAAAATTAATCAAATAGGCAATGCAAGAGCAATTCATTATACAACTATAACCAAATTTCAACTAACAATGCAACTCCCAGTAAATTAATTCCTAAAACACAATGGCAATGATTTGCGTGTGTGTGTCTCTTAGACATTTCAACAAACAGTTCATGGGCACTATGATGGGGGTCTGGGTTTTGGTCATTTCAGCGAACATTTCAGTNGTCAAGTTTATTCAAGTAGACCAAAATTAATCAAATAGGCAATGCAAGAGCAATTCATTATACAACTATAACCAAATTTCAACTAACAATGCAACTCCCAGTAAATTAATTCCTAAAACACAATGGCAATGATTTGCGTGTGTGTGTCTCTTAGACATTTCAACAAACAGTTCATGGGCACTATGATGGGGGTCTGGTTTTTGGTCATTTCAGCGAACATTTCAGTGAAAGACACAAAGAGGGGAGGGGAGGGGAGGGGATAAAGAGAAATACCTAGGATGGTTTTACCAACTTGCAGATTAATAGCACACCCAGATACACAAGATAATGACTACCAAAGATCTATATATACCAAAACCTAGACCCCAATCATAATTATTCCAAATCAAACCACCAATAAGGTTTCTCTAGCGATCTGATTTTTGCGCAGAAGAGGGATGGTGGGGAGAGAAAAAGAAGAGAAGAGGGATACCTGGGAGAAGAGGGCGTTGTGGCGCGGTTTCTCTAGCTCTGGCGCGATGGCTATGGTGGCTCTGCCTCTAGCTTTGGTGATGGTGAGAGAGAGAGATTGAGTGTTTGTGTGTTTGGGGAGAAAATTAAGGGGAGGGGGGGATAGGAAGAGAGAGGAAGGGTGGGGGAAGTGACCACTGTCTCGCCGCCTGCTCTCTGACAGTGAAGAGATTGAGATGCCCCATGCTCTTTGACGGTGAAGAGATTGAGATGAGAGAGAGGACATGAGAGAGAAGAGATATGGGAAAGAGCCANGCTTTGGTGATGGTGAGAGAGAGAGACTGAGTGTTTGTGTGTTTGGGGAGAAAATTAAGGGGAGGGGCGGGGGATAGGGAAGAGAGAGGAAGTGTGGGGGAAGTGACCATGTCATGAATTTTGGGAAGTGACCATTGTCTCGCCGCCTGCTCTCTGACGGTGAAGAGATTGAGATGAGAGAGAGGACAGGAGAGAGAAGAGATATGGGAAAGAGCCATTGGGAGAGAGAGGACATGAGAGAGAACAGTCTGGGGAAGAGCCGATGATCTGTGGGGGAAGAGGGCATGAGAGAGAATAGATCTTGGGTTGGGTTGGGTTTGGTTAAGTTGGGTTGGGTTTGGTTAAGTTGGGTTGGATGTGATGGTTGAGTTGGGTTAAGTTGAATGAGATGGATTTAGGGGGAAAATATATGGAATTTTGAATTTGAATGAGATGTATTATGAGCTTTTGGATGTTGAAGCCTTTGGATGAATGAAGACCGTCCGATCGACTTGTTGAAGCCCGCTGTGTTTTATATTATAGATATGATCTTTGTCACTCGATCTTTGATGCCAAACTAGTGCAATAAATTTGAAAGAGTATGCTTTACTTGAGTCAAGCTAAGGAAAAACAGGAAAATAACGAATGGGGTACGATAAAAAGGAAAAATTACAATTCTCTTAAGGTGGTAAACTTAACAAAAGTCAGATGAAAATAAGATAATTGAAGAATTAGTAAGTATGATGAATTACGATGATTTAATCTTATGATGAATTATTGCTGCCAAACATAAAGAATTAGTAAGTACTAATATTGGTCAAAACTTTATAGAATGAACTGTCATAGGTGACACTGTTGATAAATTTTCTTCTTTTTCTAGATTATCTCTCCAATTTAAGTTGAGGGATTCTTGCAAAGCCAAAGCTGAACACCCCTCTCCTCAATTCCTTCCCAAAAAAAAGGAGCATCATTGTTGTGATGTGGCACTGAATCCTAAACTTGATACTAAGACCTTTTTAATGGTTTATATTAGTTCAACTTTTTGCCTGTTGTTCTTGTAGAAGAACATGCTCCTGGGACTTATGAAAAAGCAAGAATGCGGTTTGCTCATGCAGAGACTCTGGTTCCTTTCTCATGTTTGATCGGCCTCTTTCTTGAAGGATATGGTGAGTGTCTTTCCTCTTAGATGTTTGTGATTGTGTTTCCCCTGGGTTTGCTGGTGGGTTGAATCCATAACAGACTTCATATACTTGAACATGTATGTATTGCTGGAGCTATCTACATACATGTTACAAATTGCCTTATGCTTTTTCCTATGGCCTTTGCCCTATATTTCTTATTACCTGGTGTTATTTGTGGAGTACTCAGAGTTTGAACTAATACAAAGAGAACAACCCTTGCAATTCCCTCCAAAGCCGCCCCAGAGAAGAAACGTGAGGGGCAGCGTCGTGGCACCTTTTGCTGGGAATAGCATGTTGGTTCTGTACAACTGTCCAGCTAACCAATCTAATCAATACTTTGTTCGAGTGTTGCACAATGAGCACCCCATTCCGATGGCGGTAAGCCTAGTTCTAGATCACATAAATTTTCTTTACCATTCTGTGATATTTCTGGAGGACTATTTGTGTATTTTGATCCATTGCATCATTTTTTGCATTCAAAATTTATGAGGTGCTTGGCACTTGTGGAAATTTAAAATGTTTTTATTTTTATGGAATTTCTTATTTAAACTACAGCATTATTACAGTTTCTNATTCCGATGGCGGTAAGCCTAGTTCTAGATCACATAAATTTTCTTTACCATTCTGTGGTATTACTGGAGGACTATTTGTGTATTTTGATCCATTGCATCATTTTTTGCATTCAAAATTTATGAGGTGCTTGCCACTTGTGGAAATTTAAAATGTTTTTATTTTTATGGAATTTCTTATTTAAACTACAGCATTATTACAGTTTCACATTGTCCTTCTGTATTGTATATACCTAAAACTCCGAAAATGTTGAATTTGAAACTCAACTGTAGACAACTAGCCATGTTCTCCTTCCAACTCCATATGCTTTTTCTTTACGTTTCAAGCTTGTAAATTGCAAGTTGTTTATGTTNGGAATTTCTTATTTAAACTACAGCATTATTACAGTTTCACATTGTCCTTCTGTATTGTATATACCTAAAACTCCGAAAATGTTGAATTTGAAACTCAACTGTAGACAACTAGCCATGTTCTCCTTCCAACTCCATACGCTTTTTCTTTACGTTTCAAGCTTGTAAATTGCAAGTTGTTTATGTCTGGCGTTTTTTGTGAATAGGGTTGCCATAATTCTGACTTCTGTCCATTTGAAGTTTTCAAGGTATCAGTCTTTTAACCAAACTTCAGAATTCAGTTCTAAGAGATGAGGCCTCTCTTGTTGAAAAACTTTGCTGACTTTGTCCAGGAAAGAATAGCAGCACCTCATTTAAAGCATGACTACAGTACACTCTGCAATGTAAAGTTGGAACCACCAGAGCACAAGCCTGTCACGAGTAAGTTATTACAACTGTTTCGTTGGTTCTTCTGGCTGTGGAATGATGATCCACGNTTCAGAATTCAGTTCTAAGAGATGAGGCCTCTCTTGTTGAAAAACTTTGCTGACTTTGTCCAGGAAAGAATAGCAGCACCTCATTTAAAGCATGACTACAGTACACTCTGCAATGTAAAGTTGGAACCACAAGAGCACAAGCCTGTCACGAGTAAGTTATTACAACTGTTTCGTTGGTTCTTCTGGCTGTGGAATGATGATCCACGGTCCCACAATATTGAGCTATAATTTGTCACTTAAGCATCGTATAAGAATAATTCTCTCTTTCTTTTTCTGCCTTGGCGATGATTTCTTGTCAGCTTGATTTCAGCTGCAGGCAAGAGCTCTTCCTAGCAAGCTCGAATGTTCAGAGATTTTGTTATGATTGGTTCACTCAAAGTCTGATCTGAATCTAACTGTAGGACAGTTGAGTATCAATTGATCATACAGTTGCTTGTCCTTGTATGCTTTGACGGATATAAAATTTCAATTCCGGTGACATGTATGTGTTTTAGGTCATTAATACCCCTATATAAACAGAACATTGTTGTCTTTAAAAGATTGTATGCTTGAGTTGTACCAAAGTGGATATGTTTATCGCTTATAGCAAGATCTGAGAGAACCAGAGAGGTGAGAGGCAGACAATCCCACCAACCTCTTATGGAAAGACTAGTCCGAGAATCTAACCCAACAGATTGCTCATATGGATAAACACTTGTCATCGCTCTCTGGGGTTGACATCTATTTGTATGTATGCGTTAATGTGGATTCGGCAGTTCGCTAGGAAGTTTTCTAGTCACACCAAGAATAGTTCCGAGTGATGAGTGCTGAATTTCAAAATGAGTATCTAGTACCAATGCCTGGATTATTTGTACAAGTGCAGCCCTGAATTTGGAAGACAAAAATAATAGAAATGAATCGAATTATTTTTGTGGGGTGAAAAGTAGTGGACAAAACGTGTACTTAGATTTTGAAGTCCACTTGTGCATCCCATGGATTCTTACAATAATTTTTTAAGGTTAATAGAATTTTTTGTCTTATTTTGTTAGTTTTGTTTTTAATATATTATNTATTTTTGTGGGGTGAAAAGTAGTGGACAAAACGTGTACTTAGATTTTGAAGTCCACTTGCGCATCCCATGGATTCTTACAATAATTTTTTAAGGTTAATAGAATTTTTTGTCTTATTTTGTTAGTTTTGTTTTCAATATATTAANTTTGAAGTCCACTTGTGCATCCCATGGATTCTTACAATAATTTTTTAAGGTTAATAGAATTTTTTGTCTTATTTTGTTAGTTTTGTTTTTAATATATTATTTTTGTTAATGTGGTTTCTAAAGTATTCAATTTGTGTTTAAATGGTCCATATTCAAATAATCTATTAAGTTTATTTTATAGAAATAATGTGTTTATTTATATCGAAAACTTTAAAAGGCCGTTTGTGTAAGAATTATTTAAATATAAATTAAATATTTTAGAGATCAAATTGATAAAATTGATATATTAAAGATTAAACTGACAAAATGAGTATATTTTAAGGACCAAAAATACTACTTACCTTTATTCCATCCTCTATCACGATCAATAATTTTCTGCTTCATGGCATCAATAAGTCGGTTGTATTATAATGTTGCCACAACTCAGTAATTTATTTTTGAAAAATGTTATATACTTCAAATGAAATTTTAAAGTTAAAATTCAAATGCATATCATCTTTTTAATGAGCGTGAGATGAACAAGTTTCGCTGAAAAAATTAATAGGACCCACAAATTTAAGGGATAANAAACTTTAAAAGGCCGTTTGTGTAAGAATTATTTAAATATAAATTAAATATTTTAGAAATCAAATTGATAAAATTGATATATTAAAGATTAAACTGACAAAACGAGTATATTTTAAGGACCAAAAATACTACTAATCTTTATTCCATCCTCTATCACGATCAATAATTTTTTGCTTCATGGCATCAATAAGTCGGTTGTATTATAATGTTGCCACAACTCAGCAATTTATTTTTGAAAAATGTTATATAATTCAAATGAAATTTAAAAGTTAAAAACTCAAATGCATATCATCTTTTTAATGAGCATGAGATGAACAAGTTTCGCTGAAAAAATTAATAGGACCTACAAATTTAAGGGATATTATACATTTTAGTTGCAACTTTTTGAATTTTATTTGAATTTTGTAACATTTCTCTTTATTTTTTGGATAGTTGGGTTCCGCATTGCATGAGGCATATACTGTGTGTGTGTGTGTGTGTGAGAGAGAGAGAGAGAGAGATTTCCTTTNGACCTACAAATTTAAGGGATATTATACATTTTAGTTGCAACTTTTTGAATTTTATTTGAATTTTGTAACATTTCTCTTTATTTTTTGGATAGTTGGGTTCCGCATTGCATGAGGCATATACTGTGTGTGTGTGTGTGAGAGAGAGAGAGAGAGAGAGATTTCCTTTAAGGTGGAGATCGAGACGACTTGAAGAAGCATGATTTCTGGACCTTAGGGATTTCTTAAATAATCTGAGCAGGAGTGATATTATTGGAGAATGTAAAACAGAGAAAAATATACAAACTAATTGATCAAAAGATCCAACTCTCAATATGGTACAAAAAGAATGCCTACCCGTGGTGCAAAATCTCTTACTGTCATTTGTCCAAGTAAAATGGGATTTGTCAAAAAATCGAATCAAGATTTCTCAAGGTTATGCACAGGCAATGGCTTTGGACAGAACCTCCAGATTAAGCAAACACTTANATTGGAGAATGTAAAACAGAGAAAAATATACAAACTAATTGATCAAAAGATCCAACTCTCAATATGGTACAAAAAGAATGCCTACCCGTGGTGCAAAATCTCTTACTGTCATTTGTCCAAGTAAAATGGGATTTGTCAAAAAATCGAATCAAGATTTCTCAAGGATATGCACAGGCAATGGCTTTGGACAGAACCTCCAGGTTAAGCCAACACTTGNTTTGTCAAAAAATCGAATCAAGATTTCTCAAGGTTATGCACAGGCAATGGCTTTGGACAGAACCTCCAGATTAAGCAAACACTTACAAGTTACAATGTCAGTTGCAAAAACCGTCTTTTACTCCTCTGACGCTCAATCAGATTCCTCGTAAAAATGCTCCGCTCCTTTAATGAAAGGAGCTGATGGGTTGAATGGACAAGTGGAATCCAGTTCCGCATTAAGTTTCTGAGTTTCAAAATTCGTCGTGTTAAGTTTCAAACCTTTGTTGATATCTAACTCTGCCAACAGGCTCATAGCTGTTTGATGTTGCCACTGAAACTTCACCAATCTACCAGTGTCATCTCTGATTAGTTCTCCAACTCCTCTCCTTCAGCATTTCTTTTTTCACCACCCATCAGTGTTGATGTTCCAACCACCTTAAAGAAAGTTGTCCAACTAATGTGTCCCGGTGAAAGGGATGAAGAGAGACTGCATGGTGTTGCACTCTGCACTTCTTGACTCGAACCAGTAGGACAATTTTCGAATACAAGTTTATTTCATGCAACAAATAGGAAGTGATTTAAACTTTCAACTAGTGTGCATCAGTGAGGGAAGAATTAAGGTCTTCACGTGATTGTGATCTCCTGCTCTGAAGACGCATCTGACTTCTGTGAGGGGACCAGAGGGAACCCATGCTACCATTGTCAAACTGCATCTGGCCCAAGCTACCTGAAGAATAACTATGGGTGACACTGCTAGATGATGGGTATAAAGAAGATTCAGTGAGCTGAATACTGCTACCGCCAAAATCATGTCCCATCCCAAATGGTCTCTGTTGGGCACTCGCAATTGGACTCAATGGCATCTTACCTCTTGCATCCCCTGAAAAACCATCATCGACAAGACCTAAAATGAGTAAATAAACGGTGATTTACAATAAAACATGAAAAAAATAAATACTGATAACAATATAGAAGAAGGAACTTGGTTCTTTTTATGTTTTGTTGAAGTGATAAAACTAATCAAGAAGGAATAATAGGTTTTAGCATGGACCGTGGAAAAAGTGAAAAAGAAAATCCATGTACATGACGACCATTTTTTATCATAGGTTTTTAGCATGGATGTCGAAACCATTAAAAAGAAGAGAGAAAGAAAGAAATTGCACACAACAAAACCATGAAAGATGTGTCCAACAAGTTCAATTATAAAATGGAGGAGAGATATTGCCAAGGGGTATAATCCTGGTTTCCATTTGTTAGCCTATCTAGTCAATTCAATTGGTGGCCACCGTAGCNACAAAACCATGAAAGATGTGTCCAACAAGTTCAATTATAAAATGGAGGAGAGATATTATACTCCATATGAGCTTGCCAAGGGGTATAATCCTGGTTTCCATTTGTTAGCCTATCTAGTCAATTCAATTGGTGGCCACCGTAGTCATAGCTATCATCACCAGAGAAACTCCGTCTACCAAAGGTCCTCAACGTCTCGAGGGTTTCACGAAATTTATCATTCCTCAGATAAACATGACAAGGATCGTATACTTCGGATTTCAAAAAACTTCAGCTTTTTTTAATTTTTCTTTTCCCAAACAAGTGAACATCAACTCAAATGGCTGCTACTAGTCTATTTTACGGGAACATTTGAATTTTTGGTCTTATAAATAACTGACCACTCTGGGCCGGGCCCCTCTTAATAAAGGGAAAAATATGCACAGCAAAAGGTATAAGCAGTCAATTTAACAATAACCAAATGGGATTTAGTAACTCTAGCTGTTTAGGCACACATCCTCAACAACTTTGATAGCTGCACAAATCTGTGTGCTGTCCTATGAAAAATAGGGCCACAGAAAGACCAAGTTGCACAACGTTCAACCATGATATTTTTCCTTTCTAAGAGAATAACTCGTAAATATGCAACAAAAAACATTTCATGATGTTTCAAAAAATTGCAGAAGTCCTAGGTCTTGTAAAAGAATTCACCTGAAGTGATAGGACTCCAGCGCTGAAAGCCGAAAGGATTTGGGATGTTGAGAACAGACGTGGAGGCACTGTTATGCCTAGAAAGGGGCAGATATGACCTGCTGAAAAATCTTGGTATCCAATTGCCCATGCATGAGCATGCACAAAATAGTAAAAACAATGAAATAAACAAAATGACTGATAAAACATATGGGTTCATCTTCATCCGGAGTATCTCGTAATTGTGAAACTCCACTCTGGCGGACAATCCTTTCCCAGCTTCCAACAGAGCAACTCCGAGCGTCCAAGAAATACTTCCAGAACCAATAATGACATGACTATCTGTAATGTGTAAGCCTTCCCTCAATAGGAACACTATATATGGCGCTCTGAAGCAATACTGTTCTATAAAGGGCTGTGGGGCAACACTCTTTTTTGCAATGTCCCAAGGTTTTTGACAAAATTCCTGGCCCTTCTCTAACACATCATCCAGTGCAGCATCAGAAGTCAAGTTAAAAAAACGATATACCACAAAAAATCCGGACATCGCATAAAACTGACCATAAGGACGAGGCAGATTATCTGGAAGGGCACAAGGTTGCAACGCACAGTCACTTCCTGGACTTAGATTTGACCATTCAGACAAATTGACTGCCACTTTTGCAAGTGCATTGCATTCATCCCACTTTGGAACACCAATTAGCTGAAGGGGAATTCCAGGTTTTCCTCCTTTACCCGCAGTTTTTCCTCCAATTGGAGGACTCCCACCTTCCTTATAGGCAGATGCACACTGAGAACAGGTGTATTCCTCTTTGTAACCTGAATGCAAGCAAGGGTGCATGATTTCAATTTTCCCACTAACTAGATCTGCGTTTGTAACATGAGGTTGCCTTTTGAGAAGATGAACCACAGACTTGTCAAAAGCATCATTCAAACCGTAGCCCGATAGAGAAAACGCAGTGAGATGGTGGTTTACAGGACCAATGCTCAGTTTTAAGGTAGTTTCATTATGGACATGTTCCTTGCTCTCAAAAGTAACCTGCAATGATGAGCCGCCCAAGTCGAGTGCACCAAATGTTTCTTTTTTGGGTGTAGCTCCCAAAACACCAGTGTCGTAGTTTAAAGCTGTCCATCCATAATACGCTTCCTCCATGCCACTGATAGTCTTAACCCATTCTGTCTGGCACAGAAAAGGTGAATTGTTTAGAATGGACCAAGCATTGTTAAGAAGCCACTCTGAGTCTGAACTAGGCAGTCTGCGAACACCAGCAGTTGCAAGAAGGAAGAGGGAAGTAGATTTATGTGCATTCTTGGGAATTTGCTTCTCTGCCCATCGAAGAAGTGGTTTTATTGCACCCCGCAAGCCAGATAAATTATGCACCAATTTGTCCAAACCAGGCTCAGTCTCCATTCGGTTGTAGGCGCGTCCACTTTGTGGAATAGGCTTTTTCTGAAGACCTTCTGGTAGTGATCTCAACAAAATAGGGAGACTCTCACCTTTCTTGCGATGAAGAGATGCTTGATATACATAAACCCGGGTTCCAGTGCTACCACTATCAAGTACAACATAGAACTTGGATGCCCCTTGAGACCAATTAAAATAAAAAAACTTTAACATATAAATAAAAGCAGCAAACAACAGTATGCACAGGAGAACCATAATCACTCGCACCCACTTCTTTCGCAAAAAAGGGGTTGCTGGTGATGCTTTCTCCTTGGAAAAACTTGACCCACCATTTTCTCTTGCTAATAAATGAGGCTGTTTTAGGTGGGCTGAAATCCTCTCAATCCCAGTGTTAAGATTGCCTTCTTCTGGATCAAGCTGGCGATATGCAGAGAAATCTTGAAGGGATGAGAAGTGTCTCAGATTGTTCTTCTGCCCTGAGCTTGCAAAACCAGAACCATGAACAGAACCCGCCAGAGGTGGCAATCCAGATGATGTATAAGGGGCAGTTGAAGACTTTGGGTCTGACAAACGAATTGTCACAGCAGAAACAAATTCTGCAATTCTGCTAAACACCATATTTGCAGAAATCTACCACTGGTGGGCAAAGAATGATTTCATCCTCAAGAGTTTTGATGCCTAAGAATATGTCCAGAAATTTAAATCCAATCTATTCTAGAGTATAGTTGAGTTTACAGAACAGATGAATTATTCAGTTATCCAAGCATTGCGTGCAGAGAACTAGCAGCAGCTCGAAATAATTACTAATCCTGCAGAAACCACATGATGGGAGCTAGTTAGCCACGTATATGAAACACCTGAAGTCAAGTTACAAGACTTATTTATAAGGGGACTTAATTAGTGGCAATTCAAAATGTAGACATTTTAGTCCCTGAAAGGGTAGAGACAAGTTATCTTTCCCAGCATGGTAAGTTGGTAACAGTACCATGGTTTAGAAAACGTATAGAAAGTGCTAATATTTCTGTGGAAACATCCGATTTTCTGAGTTGATATAAGCAAGCTTTATCGCAAGATTCATATATTACGGACATTCAGAAGAAAATAACCTATTAGCATGTGCTTCAAATATTACAACACCATTCAACTTCTAATTACAGGTTATCAAATTGAAAAATATTTTTAATACTAACAGCAGTGAGTGATTATTTGCATCAAATATGCCTCCCAAACTCTGTAAGATTTATGCATCTTAATATATTGAATACGACCAGATGGCACAATGGGAGCCCAATATTTCACCTACGGCACTCTTCTACACACTCCAAAATGGATACTATCCAACAATGTCAAAACCATCTTATCAGTGAATTGTACAAACACTTCTACATATTTGCTGTGCTTCCTACTAGTGAACGCAAGAGAAGATCACTTATGAGCTCGTATGGACAGGCAATCACACATCAGCAAATTCCAGGGATGAATGATGAAACAAAGGTTAATNCACTCCAAAATGGATACTATCCAACAATGTCAAAACCATCTTATCAGTGAATTGTACAAACACTTCTACATATTTGCTGTGCTTCCTACTAGTGAACGCAAGAGAAGATCAATTATGAGCTCGTATGGACAGGCAATCACACATCAGCAAATTCCAGGGATGAATGATGAAACAAAGGTTAATTGACAAATGAGAAATTCATGTGATCTAGTGACAAAATGAACAAATGGCTGAGTCAAGCATATCTCTCCACGCGGGCCACACTGACACTGACTAATACTATTCCAAATTGACATTTATTTTCCCATCTCGTTGTCTACTTTAATTCTAGAAATTTTACACGCCAACATTGAATCTTTCAAACGACACAGCAACATTGAATCTGTCAAACGTTAATTCACAAACATATATGAAACAATCAAAGATCATAGAATGCAGGAATGGTAGGAAAAGAACCCGGATTCCAGATCTCGNGCCAACATTGAATCTTTCAAACGACACAGCAACATTGAATCTGTCAAACGTTAATTCACAAATATATATGAAACAATCAAAGATCATAGAATGCAGGAATGGTAGGAAAAGAACCCGGATTCCAGATCTCAGAATTTGCGTATGCTTATGGTGAAATATTTACCAACAACTGACAAAAAAATCTAAATAAATTCAAAACCGAGTGATTAAGAGATCAATATAGACTGCATGGTACATACTTACAGAAATCGAGAACGTGTTACTGAGTTGTTCTACGGGTAATGTTTTGATACAGATCACGTAGACTGAGAATGGACGGTTTTCGAGCTCAAGAAGATGATCATTGAATGGCTAATTGTTTGGCCTAACCCACTTTCAAGATCGATTACCATCCCAAACGGACATAGATCCAAAAGGGTTTGTCAAACCAAAAGAAACAACAAACAACTGGTTTTCCGTGTTGAACCCCGCCGCCAGCTCTCTCTCTCTCGCTCTCTCTCTCTCTCTCTCTTCTCCGGGGGGACCGAAGTTTCACTCTCAACTTTGAAGTTTACAACCTTTTTATTCCTCACTGCTTTTGTCCTTTGGACTCTTTCTTTTTTCATAATTTGGAAGAATCATTGTTCAACCCCCAAAAATCTTCAGATTGTCAATGTATACCACAAAAATATTAAAATGTTTACATTACACTTTCAATCCTATCACGACAATAGTAATAACCTCGTGGCCAAAGAGTCTCTATAATAACAAAAATCGAGCACCGATCATATAATATTTATATTTTAAATAATAATTTATTTTATTTAATTAAAAATTTTAAAATTACCATGAATACCGAGAAAATAAGAAAGAGATAAGATAGAGGTAGGTGTGGATTAGTGAGTTATTTGACATTAAAGACTGTGTTAGTTGAATTAATGTTTTTTAGAGGAGAATTTTGTTATACTATTTGATTAAAGTAAATAAGAACCGAATCAATATTGGTTGTTGTCATGTTTTTATAAGTTGATAATTCAATTTATTAACTATAATATTAGATAGANACCACAAAAATATTAAAATGTTTACATTACACTTTCAATCCTATCACGACAATAGTCATAACCTCGTGGCCAAAGAGTCTCTATAATAACAAAAATCGAGCACTGATCATATAATATTTATATTTTAAATAATAATTTATTTTATTTAATTAAAAATTTTAAAATTACCATGAATACCAAGAAAATAAGAAAGAGATAAGATAGAGGTAGGTGTGGATTAGTGAGTTATTTGACATTAAAGACTGTGTTAGTTGAATTTTTAGAGGAGAATTTTGTTATACTATTTGATTAAAGTAAATAAGAACTGAATCAATATTGGCTTTTGTCATGTTTTTATAAGTTGATAATTCAATTTATTAACTATAATATTAGATAGATAATTATATAATATGTCTTTTATAAATCAAGTATAAAATTCTCGTATAAAGTATTTTAAATTAAATAATATATAAATAATTATAAAAATAAATAAAAAATGCATAAAAAAATTTGTGAGATAGAACAACAGAAGTTTAATTTGGTCCTACTTTTTATATGAGTAAGAATCCAATAAAAAATTAAGCTATTAGGGTGTAAATAAAGAATGTAAACTTCTTTTAGGGTACAAACTCTTTAATTAATTANAACTCTGAGGGTGTAAATAAAGAATGTAAACTTCTTTTAGGGTACAAACTCTTTAATTAATTAAATGGGTAATTTATAATTTACACTCTTAAAGTGAACACATAATTTCTATTTACTCCTTTTAAAAGTTTGCACATTATTTTTATTTAGTCCATAAAATTTTAATTGATATAGTTACATTCNTAAATGGGTAATTTATAATTTACACTCTTAAAGTGAACACATAATTTCTATTTACTCCTTTTAAAAGTTTGCACATTATTTTTATTTAGTCCATAAAATTTTAATTGATATAGTTACATTCCTAAAGTTTTAATTGAGTTTCACAAGACTTGTCCATAAAAGATATACTTTGTCCAGCAAAAAAAAAAAATCTCAAATACATCGATTATTGTCTTTTTACCTGACAATGTCTCTCAAAATTCTCACTTTATACATTTTTTCGGATTTATTATTATTTGTTCCCCAAAATTAAATGAAATAAAATAAAAAAATTTAGCTTATACATAACAGATTTTTCAACAGACAAATATATCTATTTATTCAAGTCATTTGTTGGTCACGAAAGACCATTATTACATCATAATAAATTGATAATTTTTTATATAAGGACTAAATTGAAATTCAAGTAAAACTCTAAGTACTTGATTGTTATATTTGAAATTTTAATAACGAAATAAAAATTAGGTACATACTTTGGGGGTATAAATTATAATTTATCCTAATTAAATTGATGTGGCAGCATTAGTTACTGATATTAAATTGTAATTTGTAAAAGTTTTTCAACGGCCAAGCAACGGCGTCGTTTGGGGTTTTGTAACAAATTCCCCCTTCCCGTGTCAAGAAAGTTGGTTTTCCGTGAAATCTACGTGGCAGATTTCTTAGTGGAGGGGGTGTTTCCGGGGTCCACTACTCGGCATCAACATTGTGCCGCCAAAAGGTTGGATACACAAAGCTGTTTTTATTTTTTTTTTTGCGCCAAAAGGTTGGATACTTATAAATGCCAATATCCACGAATTTTTTTTATAATAAAAACAATTATATTCATCTCATTTTTAGTTTTACTCTTATTTGAATTTCAACTTATTTTAAATTTTTTTATTAAAATTTATGTATTCTTTTGAATTCATTAGTAATACAGTTATAGATTAATAATTAAATTAAATTATTTATTATTTAATTTAATTACACGTATAATTCATATTTTTTATAAAAAAATATATTTTAAATTTATTTATATGCAACGTACGTCGTGCATTACTAGTATATATAAAAATGAGCAAAAAAAAATTAAAAAAATATATATATATATAAACAGGTCATTTCTCATATTATCATTCAATACCATATAGTTATCTATGAGAAACTTATTGTACTTATGTCGGGCCTAATTTAATGTTTCACCACATACTTTAGATATTGAAGAGTAAATTAAATTAGTTTCAACGATTTGTTGTGACCGTAGAAACTCGAATCAAAGCATTGAAAGATGAAATTCGAGATATTACCTATTGAACTAAAATTTCGAGTTTCATTGGCATCTCGAAACTGTATGATTATGATAAATTAAGAATTTAATNTGGAAACTCGAATCAAAGCATTGGAAGATGAAATTCGAGATATTACCTATTGAACTAAAATTTCGAGTTTCATTGGCATCTCGAAACTGTATGATCGGCGTTACAGCCCTAATACTTTTACTTAAACCTAATTTTGTTAATTTAATTAATTATTGTATTAATTTAATAATTATGATAAATTAAGAATTTAAATAATATTATTAGACCAAAAAATATCATTATGTCCGCATGGAAAGTTAAAAAATTAGATAACTTTTATTAAACTAATTTATTATGTCAAAATCAAGTTAGGTTCGATTTAAAAGATAATCTCATCAAACTCGAGCTCGAATTTGTTTTGTTCGAATCGATTATCACCCTTACTTGTAACCATTCATAAATCGACGAGTTAATATACTTACAACCATCTATAAATTAGAGTATTTTCAAATTTTTATCATTTTTAAACTAAATTTTAAATTTGGATAAAAAAACTCGTCAAAATCTTTTTCAATGTTAGACTTATACTATATCAAATGAACGAAGACCTTTTTTTTCCATTTAAATCAAACGAAACTCAAATCTATACTAAAATATTTAATTGTGATATTTCATCATTTTTAAGAGATTCAATGGTTATATTTTATTATCTTTCAAATTTGAATTTGTACTTATTAAATTTATATTTCTTTTATTTTAAATTTAAATTTCTTAGTTGAAAATATTTATACCAAATTAAACTTTTATTCTTTTTTTTATTTAAATTTAAATAAGAGTATGAGTCTCGGAGATGAAACATGACAATGTGATGTGGTATTATAAATTAATAATATTAAAATAAATAAATAAATGAACCCTACAAAAATTAATAAGCAATTTATTATGTAAGTAAATAATTTTTGACTTTTCTTCTATGTAAGTGGTAAGTGAAATTCATATTATTTATTTAAAATTTTATTATTAATTAGTGATAGTATGTTGTAAATAATACCGAAATATTACGGCTGCATTCAAATATTTACTCATTGAAGATGGTCTTACAACGGCTTGGTCTTACTTCTGACCATCTAAACCACGAGACTTGTCACAAAACGCATTAACTAAAGGAAAAAAACGCATTTAACTAAAGAAAGTTAAAGGAAAATCACCCTCCGATACTACAGATAGTTCGAGTTAAAGCCTCAAAGCCAGGTAAAAATCTAGCAATAGAAGAAAAACCCCAACAATCGCCGCTCTCCATCTCTCCAACATTTCTCAAAAGCCACAAAAACCCTCACACCCAAACTCACCCCCCTTCTCCACCATGGCGACCAACACTCCCAACCTAGAGTGCCGCATGTACGAGGCCAGGTACCCAGAAGTTGACCAGGCAGTGATGATTCAAGTCAAGAGCATGGCCGATAGCGGCGCGTACGTCTCTTTGCTCGAGTACAACAACATTGAGGGCATGATTCTCTTCTCAGAGCTCTCTCGACGTCGGATTAGGAGCATCAGTAGCTTGATTAAGGTGGGTCGAATCGAGCCGGTGATGGTTCTTCGAGTTGATAAAGAAAAGGGCTATATTGATTTGAGTAAGAGAAGGGTTTCTGAAGAGGATATTCAGGCGTGTGAGGAGAGGTACAATAAGAGCAAGCTCGTTCACTCCATTATGCGTCATGTGGCCGAGACTATGAAGCTCGATCTTGAGGTGACCCTTTGGACTTTGGATTTATTATGCTTTCTTTTGTTCATGGATTTGAGAAATGATCTGAATAATGCCTAAATTGTTGGATTTTGAAGTGAATTTTAGCTTAAGATTTTGGGAACCATAGAGGGTATGTATAAATTATTGCAAAAAAGACGTATTATTGAACTGGGAAACTTGCAAAAGACTTGGTCTATTATTCTATCGACTTTTTGATTTTTTTTCCTTTTCTAGCACTAGAAAGAGCATAGGATTAGAGATTGGATTGTTTCTAAGAAATATATGGCTGGATTCAACTCAAATCCATGTTAGTAAGGTTTTAAATTTGACATGTCGTTCGCAGAATAGGTGAGACCATCAGGGAAGCCTTTGAATCCGGGTGACATTTGTGCATAGAAGGGTTTTTAGAGTGAGGACATGACTTAAAACATAATTTTATCTATGACCATGATTGTGTTCTGTTAAGAATCATGCCAAGATAGGCTGATGATACACTACCACTCAGAGCTTATCAATTATAGGGCTCACTGAGAACTATGGCTCAGATCGGAGCAATCACAAGGTTGATGAGTTTTTTCTTGAATTTTCTATTATTTGATGAAGGAAACACATAGAAGAGAAGAACAAAGAAAAGGGGAGAGAAAGAGGAGAAAGTTTGATTCCATTAATTCTGAAATTCTACACATTGCAAAGCTTTTATGCGTCCATATATAATACAAGTCACAAGGGTGACGCCCAAGAAAGAAAACAACATACCAAGCATCTAAATGCTATATACACAATGAAAGCAATTCTAACAAACTTCCAGCTCAGCCATGTGCTTGAACATTCTTTATACTTTCATATGTGGATTCCTTTGGTGAGCTTGGATCTTCATTGGACAGCTGGATAGGCTGCACATCAGCTGTACTTTTCAATATTTTTCCTCATATTTGGTGTAGAGCAGATAAATAGTGGGAATGCTTTAGTACTTACTATCACTCCATTTTTGATACTTTTGTACTTCTACTTTTTTGAATGCAACTGGATTTTGCCTTGAGAAAATTTCTCCAAAACAAAAGGCATATGTCAATCATATGCCTTCGTATGCAACCATGATGTGTGGGTGCAAATGTAGATATATTTCATGTAGTTATTTGCAGAAAAAATATGCACATGCACCATTTTGTATGCACAGGCTAATGTTGTTTATGTAGATAGCTGTAGGTGTCATATTTGAGTTTCCCATATGTCCAGTATTTATTGACCAAAAAACACTTCAAATATCCATTAAAATTGATAGAGCCTTGAAGAAACACATTCTTTGGAGAAAATTTTGGCCAAAAAAGAACAAAGTTGTGTGTTGTGCATCGATTGATAAGTGCAATTTATCTTGTGGATTTATGAAGATATATGACAAAACTTTAACTTTTGAGGGTTAATATCTCTTGGAATGATCAGAGGGGCGCAAATATAGTTCAATCAAAACCGGATGATTCAGGTTGTGGCTACTAGCTGTTGTATAATTGCCCTAGTGCCCAATAATCACCAAACAAATGATATTATGTACGGCAAAGGTAACATCAGGGTGAGGGTTTAAATTGGCCCCCCATCTTCTTTACATAATATTTCTTGTGCACTGGCTCCTCACATTGCAAAATTTGTATGCTCTTTGATTTTTGCTTCCTTGATGAGGTGAGCTGTTATTATGAATTTCTATGGTGGGTGGTGGATTACAATTAGAGGATATATCTTTTGCTTGCGGATGTAAGACTAGGTACATCTAATCCTTCCGCAGTGGCGGGAGGCTCGTGCATGGAGCTACCCTTTTTTTCCTGTCAAAACAAGCAAAATTTTTGAAGGTGTAGCATTTTCCTTGGGATTGTTTTATTTCAAATTCCCTGTCTTTGTCTTTTTTGAGTATGTAGTTGTCTGGGTTTTGCGGATTGTTTCATTTTGAGTTAGTCAAATGTACTTATGTACACTTATGCAAGTTTTGGGCCATACCCAGGATGCCAGGAATTAACTGAGACTTTGGTTTGTTTCTGTTGTCTGAATATGTTGTCTGCTGCTTGCTAATTGAGTTTGGATGGGCGGTCAGATTGGTTTTTTGGATTATTGAATATGTTGGTTTGGTTTAGTCTGTGGCAATGTTCTTGTAATAGCTATTATTGCTCAGCTTAACCTTTTTCTCCGTGCCTCCTTTTCATCCATCAAGTTGTATTTGTTGTTTTCCATGTAATGAGTAATCACAATATGTTTACTTTCAACTGAAAATTAGGGATAGTATTTCTCACTTGTCTTTTCTTGTGCAGTGTAGTTCTCTTAAGTTGTCTTGTTGTGGGCTAATGTTTTTTAATGTTTGTTGCTTACCAATCTACCTATTGTAGTACTGATTTGTTGACCTTTTATTCTCCATATGGCTACTTCTAAAGGAAATTATCCATGACAGGATCTGTATATTCATGTTGGCTGGCCTTTATACCGGAAATATGGTCATGCTTTTGAGGTGAGATTGTGCACCACTTTCAGTAGTCGTTTTTTTACTCAGCTGGTGAATAGAGATCTTTATCTTTCCCTTCTTTGGCCACAGGCATTCAAGTTAATTGTGAACGATCCTGACTCAATTCTCAATTCTCTCACCCGGGAAGTTAAAGAAATTGGTCCTGATGGACAGGAGGTAATTTTTGTTTGCATAATGTACATAGGTATTTTTCTGCCTATAGGTAATTAAGGCCGCTTTGAATCTGGTTCTATAGGTCACTAAAGTGGTTCCTGCTGTGACTGAGGAAGTTAAAGATGCTTTAATTAAAAACATTAGGAGAAGGATGACTCCACAACCATTGAAGATTCGCGCTGATATCGAGATGAAATGCTTTCAGTTTGATGGTGTTCTTCATATTAAGGTATATTTTGCATATACAGTTTTTTGATTACTTTCTAATCTGTAGTGGTTGTGCTGTTGGGTCAATTCTAGATGACCTCCCTATTAATTGGACCTGGTAACCCCTCTCCCCTTCTTTTAAACTTCATATTGTGATGCTAAACCTCCTGGACGTATGGATTAAGTGTGAATCGTGACGGAAAATGGTTTGTGTAAAACTTCTAAAATGCCCAATTTTCTCCATTCTCTTTTCTTTGCAATATCATCCTCTGTTAGTCCCTCTTTATCCTCTGTGAGAGAGAGAGAGAGAGAGAGAGAGAGAGCAGACGTGTTTTAGAGATGGAAAAGCATTGTGAAGGACTCAAGTCCACATATTTTTTTTCTCCAGAAAAGGAATTATATAATTTTGACAGTGCCAAACAAGTGTTATGTAGCGCATGTAGTACAGGAATCATTAAATTGGAAGGAAAAGTTAATGATTTCAGTCTTCCTACCAGTAGAAGGGGTTTGGTATTACAATTTGAAGTTCAAGGGGGGTGATGTGGTACCGCCCCGATCCCAAAGTATGGGGTTGATCTGTAGTAACCTTAGATCTTGGTTACAAGTTCTAAACTGTTTTTGACTTGTTTGATAACTGACTTTGCAGGAAGCCATGCGGAAAGCTGAAGCAGCAGGGAATAAGGATTGCCCTGTTAAAATTAAACTTGTTGCTCCTCCAGCATACGTCCTTAATACTCAGACTCTTGACAAGGTAACTTCTAATCATCACATAAAATTTCTTGAGACCTTATTGCTGCAAATATTCACCAATTCAATGATTGATTTGTCACGTAATCTTCCTGGAAGACTTGAAAAGGATTTCCCCAACATGATTGAGATAAAACAAAAATCCTTCTTCATGTCGAATCAAATTTTTTTTTTTTTTTTGGGGGGGGGGGGTTTGGTGGGTTGGTCTTTTGTATTTTTTAAGGGGCTAGGGTTTTGCCTGCTGATCACAGCCCAAGGCCATTTATACTTTTCTTTGGCATTTGTTTCTCAGGTGGTACAAGAACCATCCCCTTATCAGCTGCTTGTTTTCTATATTAAGCCTCAAATAATTTATAATTTTACTTTTTGGTTTAAAATGTCATCTTTCTATTTTGCACGTATCTTTTGTCGGGATTATCTGTTTAGAGTCAATGTGAGTGTCATATCGTTTTCCATTGTTTTCTTTAGGCTAATTAGTCAAATACATTTGTGTGTTGCATGCTAAAATGTTAGGTGTGTGATCTCATGAAGTCATGTGACTTCTTGTCTCTACCCTCTCTGGTGGAGTTGAAGCAATTGTTGTAGGCTTTCAGGTGTTGATGTCCTTATCTANTAGAGTCAATGTGAGTGTCATATCGTTTTCCATTGTTTTCTATAGGGTAATTAGTCAAATACATTTGTGTGTTGCATGCTAAAATGTTAGGTGTGTGATCTCATGAAGTCATGTGACTTCTTGTCTCTACCCTCTCTGGTGGAGTTGAAGCAATTGTTGTAGGCTTTCAGGTGTTGATGTCCTTATCTACTGGGTACTGTTTCCACTTACTGAATGGTTCACAATAGAATTTCACTCTCTTTCCGTGATGGCGTCTACGAATCTTCTCATTTCCACTGCCTAGATTTAAAGGCAGGAAAAACAATCCTTCAAACCCCAGTGCCCACCCACACCTCTTCCCCTACTTGGGGTGCCCATTGCTGTTCTCTCCTTCCTTCTCCTCGGTTGCAGCTGATGCAGAACTGGGAAGGAGAGAAGAAAAAAGAAGGTTGTCAATCCTCACAAGAATTANCGTGATGGCGTCTACGAATCTTCTCATTTCCACTGCCTAGATTTAAAGGCAGGAAAAACACTCCTTCAAACCCCAGTGCCCACCCACACCTCTTCCCCTACTCGGGGTGCCCATTGCTGTTCTCTCCTTCCTTCTCCTCGGTTGCAGCTGTTGCAGAACTGGGAAGGAGAGAAGAAAAAAGAAGGTTGTCAATCCTCACAAGAATTAGGTTGAGAAACACACAGTTCTACAGAGCGGATAAGTGGTTGAATTATGCTTGAAATTCAACGGTAATTTAAACGATAGGGATGACATGATTATTTATGCACAAACAAAAAAAAAAACAAAACAAATGGGTTCTCTCCTAGTAAAATTCTATGTAAAACAATCATAGTCAGATGAATACCAAATAGCCAACTATTCCTGTAAACTGATAATAAACAATCTAATTACTCACCGAACAAAATAATAAACAATCTAATAAGCTCCTAGTCACGAAATAAAACTAAAATAAATTTATGATCCCTACTAATATTGTTATGCAACTTGGCACAAATCTAACCGGAGCATTTCATCCCGAAGTATGATCACAGATGTTACTCAATCTACATTGTCATTGTGTAAAGAGTGGGTCGTCAGTTGTAGTTATACTGTTGCTACATATGGTTAAGCTATNAATCACGAAATAAAACTAAAATAAATTTATGATCCCTACTAATATCGTTATGCAACTTGGCACAAATCTAACCGGAGCATTTTATTCAGAAGTATGATCACAGATGTTACTCAATCTACATTGTCATTGTGTAAAGAGTGGGTCGTCAGTTGTAGTTATACTGTTGCTACATATGGTTAAGCTATAAGACTGCTTCCATGCTAAAACAAATGTTCCAGTATTTCACACTTCCTCTCTCTGGATCATAAATGACCAATGCATCATAAAGCTTGTGTTGCTTGATGTATGTGTTGTATGCTGGCTGTTTGTAAAGCATATAACTACTCTGTGGTTGGACTAATCGAGGGAATGATCACTCTTATCCGCTCTTTGTTGAAGTCATTTCATTTAGATTTGTCTGTTTTACTTGGTTTTTTAAGTGTTTCTACTATGACTCTTTCCCAGCTCTATGCGGAAAGACCATCGGTACTCTACTTGATCTTTGCCCTCCCAGGAATATGTGAAATTACTAAAGACCGTCGGTTCATTTATCTAATTTGAAATTTTGTAATGCAGGAACAAGGGATAGCGATACTTAATAAAGCAATTGCTGCTTGCACTGAAGAAATAGAGCGTCACAAGGGGAAATTAGCTGTAAAAGAGGCAGCCAGAGCTGTAAGTGTCATTCTCTTTTTTTTGGTCACTNGCGGAAAGACCATCGGTACTCTACTTGATCTTTGCCCTCCCAGGAATATGTGAAACTACTAAAGACCGTCGGTTCATTTATCTAATTTGAAATTTTGTAATGCAGGAACAAGGGATAGCGATTCTTAATAAAGCAATTGCTGCTTGCACTGAAGAAATAGAGCGTCACAAGGGGAAACTAGCTGTAAAAGAGGCAGCCAGAGCTGTAAGTGTCATTCTCTTTTTTTTGGTCACTGTTTGAAACTATTACAGGGGAGGGGACTGGTGAAGTTTGTACCCATTACCTATCATTCTCTTTCATTTAACTTTATTTTTCCATGTATTTTCATACTGACCTTGAATCCACGTGATCTTTTTCGGGATTTGAGAACTCCTTGGTTTCTATTTCGATATTCATGGAATTTGCCATTAAAAGTTCTTTCTTGTGCAATGGTGCATTGATTTAGGTGAGTGAACGGGAGGATAAACAACTTACCGAGTACATGGAAAAGATAGGGCGTGAAAACGAGGAGATTGGCGGTGATGAAGACAGTGAGCAGGAGGAAGATACAGGGATGGGCAATATTGATTTGGAGAACTCGAATTCTGGCATAACAGATTGAGAAAATGGCGTAATACCCTTGAAAATACTCGAATTCATAGCTAGTTGTCTTTTTTTCTTTTTTCTTTTTTTTTCACAGTATTTTGGAATGAGTGTATTACTAAGTTATTTTGATTGTTTTCCAATGTTTGAGCAGTTTTCCTACTTTTTTTTCCCCCGATGGTTGTTTTCCTAAACAATAGCAAACGTTTTGCCGGTGTCTGGAAAATGCAGTATACCACCGTATTCTCTCTCTTTCTCTTTCTCAAAAGTTTTGTTAGCTTGCGGAGAATGCACTCTCCCACCTTATGAGAATCTCTCTCTCTCTCTCTCTCTCTCTCTCTCTCTGTATATACACACACTAGGGGTATCCTGTGCTTGAATGCACGGTTGTAGCTTAAGTCAACTAGTTAATTTGAAAAAAAAATTATTGTAATTTGTTTTAATTAACAAAATTAAAATTAATATATATTGGTTAATATTTTTTAGGAATTATTTTGGTAGAATTTACTTTAAAAATAAGAGCTCAGGAAGTTTTCAACCTGTTTATAAAACTTAGAGTCTCTTGAATGCATAATACATGTGAACTTAAATTTCACAATTCATAATTATACATAACAATACTTAGAGTTTACAATTAAAATTCTTCACCCTTTTGAATCCAATTACTAAATTAGCCGTCAATTTCAATCAAAATAAATTAATTATACGTGTAATTGGTTCACTTAAATACAACATACACACAAAGAGAAAATTCGGACAGACAGTTAGCGTCGGAAGACACTTTGCAAACCATGCAAATCCAATTAATTTGATGTAGCTCATTCTTTATTTCATTCAATTAAAGAAATATATATTAGTAAAAAAAAATTGTGGTCACATAAATCAATTAATCTAGTTATTACCAAATATTTTTTCAAAATTTTGATATAGTTTTCTTCGAAAATAGAAAATCATAGAAATATCAACCTATATACAAAACTAAAAAACGAACAAAACAATCCACAAAATTAGCACTCCATACCCACCAACCAAAACAATATGCAATTCCATGTCAAGCCAAACATATTCTCATAAACATGAAATTAGTTCACCATCTTAAAAATAGAATAAACAAAAATTATGCAAATCCGGTTAAGTTGATATAAGTTATTTTTAATATTATTTAATTAAATAAATTTAATTTAATTTAATAATAACTCACTATTTTTACAAAATTTATATATCATCAGAGATAATTCGTATTTGATGACATTATTGTTTGACTGGCTAGATTGGTGCCTGATGACATTACTGTTTGGCTGGCTGGATTGGTGCAGATATTTTGAGGTTTGTGTAGAATATGTACAATTTAGTAACTTTTTTAGAAGTATTTTTTAAAAAAAAAATATGTAGAAAGTATATTTAATTACTATTTTACAAAAGTGAGCTAATATACATGTCAATGTCTAAAAATAATATGCTTATAAACATATATTTAATTATTTTTTAATTAATATATATACATTAACCAATTTAAAGCCAATAGTTAATCCGAACATATTAAAAAATAAAGTCTATTTTATCAATTTTATTTCATTTTTTATGCATTGTATCTGAGATACTAATGACGTGATGTCATTATTTTAACGAATATTTAGTGGGGTGATGATTACGTCGTCGTTAGACTGAGATTTCGGAGATTTGATTAGTACTAAATTGTAGTGGTCCCCTTCTTGTCTCATACTATATAAAGACATTTCAAAACTCCCTCAATCATACACCAAATTTACCTCTCTCTCTCTCTCTCTATTTCCAGGTCTCTAAATTCAAGAACATCACATTCACACGTAGTACAGGACTTCTCGAAAGAGTATGGCGGTATCGGTAGAGAACCTCTTGAAAGAAAGAAAATATCCATTCATTTTCTCTCTCTTCATCTTACCCTTACTCATCTTCCTCACACTCCTCCTCTTGAACAACTCTCAATCCTTCTCCTACTTCACCATCGACATCACTCAACTGCAACCAAAACCACTCTCGTCCTCTCCACCTCCAAATCCAAACCTTCCGATCTCAAACCCTAGCTCATTCACACAGCCTCCACAACACCACGACGTTGCGTCCAATCTTACTGCAATTGAATCAAGTGATGCGAATTTGTTCGATTGGAAGGTTTGTGAGGGTTATGTGGCGGTTGATTACATACCGTGTCTTGATAATTTTAAGGCCATTAAAGAACTGAAGGCAAGGAAGCATATGGAGCACAGAGAGCGGCATTGTCCGAAGCCGAGTCTGCGGTGCTTGGTTCCGCTTCCGACGGGGTATAGGATTCCGGTTCTGTGGCCTAAGAGCAGGGACATGGTGAGATTGATTACAGTTTGGTAAGATTTTAGATCTTGTTTTAGTTTTTTGGATTGCGTATTTAATTCTTTTGATCACCTACTATTTTCAGTTTTTGGACATTTTAAGTTGCCTATTAGTTGGATTACAAGTGAGTTGTGAAATTGAGTTGACTTATGTGTTTGATCAAGTCATCATACATTTGCCTAGAACATTTATAGGCTGCTTGCTAAAGTAGTATTGCTTATCAGATAAAAGAAAGGAGGTCAGTGATTTTGGTATTTACTGATATCTTTGAAAGTAGGAATTTATTAGTTGGATTGTGGAAAGTTAGTTATTGCAGTGATGTGAACTTAAAGAGTATGATTGTCATTAAAGGGGTGGTAAATATCACCTATTCTGTGAATTTTCTATGCCGGATGTGGGTTTAATGGAGAATTGTAAAATAATAAACCAAGAAGTTAATGTGAAGAAAGAAGTTCCAAGAACGTTGCTAAAAGTATAATGTTTTTTTAACAACTAGATGTCTAAAATCAGGAGTTAGCTATCTGAACTTGAACACTGGTCCACTCATTGAATTTCGCCTGTACTCTCATGGCATTGCTTTTATTTTAAATTTAAAGGGTGACCATACACGAAAAGGTTGTTTAGAACAACCGTGTCCTCTTTTGAATTGGTGTAAACAATAAAAAGATAAAGAAAAAAACAACCTAGTCATCTTAAAGAATTTCTATATTATTGCGTAACTTGTGTGTGCCGCTGTGATAGTGCATTGTGTGGATGAGTCTTATGCAGACTCCTTGTGGAAGGAGCTATTGGACTATTGGAGTGGCAGATCAGATTTTTCCCTGTCTTATCCTGTTCGTTATGCCAACCAATAATCTGAATTCAAGTTCAAGATTGTTTCTATGAGTTTTTTCTGCTCGATGTTAGCTTGTAGGCAACAATATTTTCTTTCTGGGTTTGAAATCAATGTTTTCTATCACATATATCTGTGTGATGCTCTTTTAGCAGACAAGGCCCTTTACTATCTTAAGAAAGTATTATGAGGTCCACATATAATCATATATGTTTGTTGTGCTTCTGATGTCAAAATACTGACTATGTTGTGGATTCAAATTTCTGGTTCTCAGATATGGTATGACAATGTTCCACACCCTAAGCTTGTTGAGTACAAAAAGGCTCAAAATTGGGTGCGCAAATCTGGTAATTATCTTATTTTCCCTGGAGGTGGTACTCAATTCAAGCATGGAGTCACTCACTACATTGAGTTTATTGAGAAGGTAATGTATACACTTATCAGCTCTATTTCTTCACATCTATAAAAAGCCGTCACAACAGGCAACCTTGGCCAATAACTTCTTTTTATGTATGTGGTTGCTGCATGAAACTTTATATTACCTCCATTCAAGCAACAAAAAATGGGATAGGCTTTTTGTTTTTTGTTTTGTGTGAAATGGCTGTAAAAGCTACTGAGTATACCTGGCGGAGGGAAACAGATTAAGGATGAATTTTGCAAATGCGGATCAGTGGGCCATGAAATTGGAAATTGAAGAATATTTGACAACATACATACGTTGAAAACTGAAATGGAACTTTGGTGGAATCCTCATTTTGGAGTCTGCAGAAGTATCAGTTATTTGTTTCTAATAATTGCACTCATGAATTTTGATGCTTTTGTGATTGGGAATTAGAATAATTTCCTCAACAGCTGTGTAGCAAAATCACAAAGGAAGCTGTCAGTGTTTGGCATCCATCCCGATGCACGGTGCTGGACACAACCTCTGAAAAATGTAAAATGGAACATAACCGTCAGGCATTATACACATGCATCGCCACCAGCATCCACCCAAACATACACATGCTTGGCTCTGACATTATAACAGGAGAAGAAGTGTTCTTCACTTTTTGTGATACTGTTGGTTCTAGCCTCCTAGGGCATGACTTATGATCCACATTTGACATTACCAGCTTTATTGCAAGTGATCTATAATTGAGCAATTAGGAAAGAACGTTTAGATTGATCCGCATTTGGAGGTGGAGCTATGCGTGGGAATACATGTGTTTTTGTATTTAGAGGGAGGAAATGGCCCTTGCCATCATCTTCCTTTGACTGCATTGCCGGATTTCTTCATGCAAGGACTGCAGGAGGTTTGATCATCTGTGTCACACAACATGTTGTGACTCCTATCATTATTTTCTCTTTTCTTCAGGAAAATAGTGCCAAGGAAGCACATAAAAATTCTATATCACAACAAAAAAAAAAGGTTGGGGGTACTGTTATCCCTTTTGTGAAATTTATGTTGACTGCATAATGAAGTGTCTCTATTGAAGCCACTCAGTGTAGTGTGTCATCACAATTGGCAATTTTGTGATTTTGACAAGCATATATGTGACATATCAAATGTCTTACTGACTAAGAATTATGTCAAATGAACACAATATTGTCAAGTATCTCTAATCAATAAGAAGCAACATTCATTTCTCTTTCATTTGGTTGACGATTAAATGGTGAAATTTTGTTTCTTGTATTAAGTACCAACTCCTGACAGGTATTTGATTTGCGATTGAGAACTAATTTGACTTGAATTTTGAATGAAACCATTTGTTTGTTTTCTATCTGAACTGGTTTACACTTTACACTCAAGTTAAACAATCTTATCTGTTGTTATTTGCCCAGAACTTGCCAGCGATTGAATGGGGGAAGCGCACAAGGGTTATTTTAGACGTTGGCTGTGGCGTTGCTAGCTTTGGTGGCTATTTGCTTGACAAAAATGTTATCACAATGTCTTTTGCCCCAATGGATGAGCATGAGGCTCAGATACAGTTTGCTCTCGAGAGGGGGATTCCTGCTACTCTTTCGGTTATTGGAACTCAAAGGCTGACAATTCCAGATAATGCATATGATCTAATACATTGTTCTCGATGCAGGGTTCACTGGGATGCAGACGGTACGTGGCATAATTGTTTTTAGCTCGCCTATTTGATTTGTCGAGTTATTATAATGCCATTGGTTGAAAATGTAGGTGGGAAACCATTAATGGAACTCAACAGGGTTCTTAGGCCTGGAGGGTTTTTTGTATGGTCGGCAACACCAGTTTATCGTCATGATGCAAGACATCAGAATGTCTGGAAGGGTTTGTTATTCAACATCTCTAATTTCCTATTTAATTTACTGAAAAATATACATGTACTGACTGTTGCTTTTAATAATGAATTACAACTCCTCAGCACAACATCCTACTTTAGTATCTTTTTGTAGAGGGAATTTTAAGCTTCACAAGATAGTTTACATTTGAAGTTAAGTATGTGTTATGTCCCACAACTAAGTCGCAAGTTCATATTCCCTGTTTGTTGCAGCTATGGTAGCTCTGACTGAAGCGATGTGCTGGAAGGTAGTTGCTAGAGCCATTGATTCATATGGAATTGGGCTAGTTATATATCAGAAGCCTGTTTCATCTTCCTGCTATGAAAAGCGCAACGAAAATAATCCACCTCTGTGTGATTTGAACAATAGGCCAAACATTTCATGGTATAATTTCAAAATATACACCATTTTTTACGGTCATATCATCATCATCCTAAATACCAGCATTGTCTCTTTTTGTGTATAGGTATGTGCCGCTCGACAGTTGTCTTCCCCAAATTCCAAAAGCAAGCATGGGCAACTCATACGACTGGCCCTCACCCTGGCCCGAAAGGCTTACTAGTAAACCTGTAAGCTTATCAACTGAACCAGATGCCGAAGAAAGCTTTTATGGGGACACCAAGAACTGGCATGCACTGGTCTCAGATTTTTATCTGGGAGGCCTCGGTATAAAATGGTCAAGTGTTAGGAATGTGATAGATATGAATGCTAGTTATGGAGGGTAAGATATTTAGATTTTGAATCTGTTATTATTAGAGTGCGCATCTTTCATTTCTGATGTGTCTTTGATGCTCTAAAACAGATTTGCTGCAGCACTTATTGACAAACCTCTATGGGTAATGAATGTCATCCCCATTGATGGGCCAGATACTCTGCCTCTTATCTTTGATAGAGGGCTGATTGGAATCTACCACGACTGGTGTGAGCCTTTTAATACTTACCCTCGGACTTATGATCTCCTGCATTCCAGTTTCCTCATCGGAAACCTAATTCAAAGGTACCAGCATAATTGCACAATAACTGTTTATCCTATTTTGATTATAAACATTTGGAAATGACTACTGAACCGGGATCACTACTGTCCCAAAAGGTTCAACCCTAGGTTAGTTACAGTTTAATTTGGCTCAGGTTATGATCCAAAAAAGTCAGTTGCAACATAATTGAGGTCAGGTTACTGCTAAAAGAAGTCGGGATTAATCCTAAAATACTAATATCCATCATATCATTTGAGGGTCGACTCCATTTTTATAGTAACTTTACCCTAAACATTTAAATGGTGATTCAAACCTTGCATTGCATTCTAGGACTACAATTGCAGATATTGTTAAGGTTTTGTTGCATTTCCCATTCCTCGGTCACCAGGTTTTTGGCTGATCCAAGTGTTTGCGGATGTTTTCAGATGTGACCTAATAGATGTGGCCGTTGAAATGGATCGCATACTGAGACCAGGTGGCATTCTTTTAGTTCAGGACACCATGGAGATGATTAACAAGCTAAGACCAATTTTGCATTCACTTCACTGGTGGATAACATTACATCGGGATCGTTTTCTCGTCGGTAAGAAAAGTTCATGGCGTCCGGATGGAAAACTAAACTAAGCATATAAAGTTTGGTTTCAATTATCTGTCAGAGTAAGATTTTCGTATTCATTTAGAGATCAAGAAAGGGAAACACAGACACTTCACTACAATTTATAGGCAAATATATGATGCCAATTCTTGTCCTCATTTTTTGACCTGAAGAAACTGTATGAGGAGCACTGAAAAACAGCTTTTATAACAGCAATATAGTTGGGCCTGATCATATTACTTGTGCTCTCTTTTAACTGCAAATGCTCTTGTATGAGGAAAATTGAAATTGTGGAGACACACAAATTCCAACCAGGGTTTAAGAAACATATCCTACGTTACATAAACACATACCCAGAACCTCAAAAATAGTTCAAGTGATAACAACCTCAAAAATAGTTTAAGTGATAGCAGGGAGGAGCGGTAAATCCAGATGTTCTGAATTTGAATTTTAACAATTCCTTAAGGTTAGTCTACGAGAGATTTACAAATACTTAAAGTCTCAGTGTAGATGGTCTGTCTTTGACCGGATTGGAGAAGGAGATTAGTTAACTCGCGTATAAGTTGGTGTAGACCACCCTAATCATCAAAAAATAAATAAATAAACCCATACACACGCACATACTCATTGAATTCAAACAAGACTAACATGAGTTTTCAAAACAAGTTCTCTTTTGTAGTGAAAGTTGCACAACAATACGAAACTAGAAGGAAGATGCACAACCAGAGTTGGTAGTGTCATCGACAAGCCAACCATTGGTAGCTGAAACCATCCGAGAGTAGCAACCAAATTCATCCTGATAATTGTAGATTTGACGAGTACTAGCTGCACCAGAGATAACAGAGTGGTCCTTGACATCCATTCTCCCACTGGATTGTTGACTGTTAACTACAGAGCTCGATAAGTTCCCATCAGATTTCCTCTCCCTTGACGAATGTTCAACATTCGTTATCATCGAATAAACATCACTCTCTGATCCAGGCAGAGTTGAAGTGGTAACAGTAAGAGGATATTTCCTTTTTGTAATCAAACGAGTGATCAAGTTTCCTTCTTCAGATTCAATCCTCACTTCTCTCTGTACCTTCACCTTCTGTTTCACCAATTTTTGAGTACCATTCATCCCGAACTTTATCGAGTTCTTGAACTTGAATTCTTCCAAGATATGGGTAGTTAAATTACCCAGACTCGAATTCACCCACCCAGAAACTTGACTCTTCCTCCTCGCTTCAATCCTAATTGATCCATCAAGTTCTTTGAACCTTGACTGATGTTCAATCGAAAGAGTTGGAGTCTGATAACTACCAACTTGAGCTTGAACCTCTGACGATTTATGATCCAACCATAGGTGTAAATTCGCATCAACAAGCCAAAATTGAATACTATGAGCCACTCCGAGCCCAAACAGATGATTCTTCCCATCAAGAAGCTTTCCCAAAAAAGGCGTTAGATCAAAGTCGTAGGTTGGTAAATCAAAAGCCCCAATCGAAACCACTGGTTCCCAAAACAATGGATTAATTCCACCGGTGAAGATAACCGGAAATGGCACCACCGATCCAACCAAAGACCCATCGATCCCCACTAGAATTTCCCGGTAAGCTCCGTGGCCTCGTCCGGTGGTCAAGTTGTTCATTTCTATATACAAATCCGGCGGATTTGAATACCAAAACTCATCATCTCCATGAAATGACACATAAATTTCAATCACAGCTTTCCATGTATTCAAAGGAATTTGAATTCCCTTGGAATGTACATCCGATCCGCTCTCAATTCTGAACCAAAACCCTTCTTCTTCAATTCTCGATATTGGAATTATCAAATCCGCTGGTTGTTTATACAAATTCAACGAGTTTTTCTGATTATTCACACCGTGAATTCCTTCTTTGTACAACATTATAGGATTTGGTTTCTCAGATTCAAAACCTAGTTTACCAAACCCAAATTTCCTAATAGGGTTTTGATTCCGAGGAAGCTGAGATGAAGAAATGCCAACGGCGTGAGCTTGGTAATAGAGGAAAGTGACGTTGACATGGTAAACGCCGGTGTAAACGTTGTTAACGACGTTTTCAAGCATGACGGAAAAAGTGAGATTGGACTGTACGAGGAGAGAGTTGTACCTACTCACGTCTTTCTGAACTTTCCAGAAGATACCATCGTCGGTGGGCTCGGCTGTGCTGGTGCGTAGCAGCTCGACGCCGTTGAGCCAGACTCCGACGATGCGGTCGTACTGTTCGCCTTTGCACGAGACAAGGAGCTCGATGACAGCGTGGCACCACGCGCAATTGGCCGGCGGCGAGTAAGGGACGGAGACTGGTGGTTCGCCGACGGTGTTGGCGAAGCTGTGGCGGAGGACGGGGAGAGTGCATGAAGGAGTGAGTTGGTCGAAGGGGAGTGGGTGGGTGAGCTCGAAGTATTGCTGGGAGGTTTTCTTATGGAGAGATTTGGTGAAGTGGCCTTGGAATGAGTGGAGTGGAGTGGTGAAGAGGGAGAGAATAAGGAGGAGAGAGAGGAACATTTTGGGTGGTCTATGGCGGCGGAAGTAGTGCTGTTTAGGTGGTGTTGTCGGAATTTGCAGCGGTTGGAGGGTCATCGGAGAATATGGCGGGATGGACAGAGGCTTGGTGGTTGGGCTTATGGCCAAGACGAATAACTTTAGAGAAATTTTTGCAACAGCCAAGCCCGTGTGGTGTGTATCCAATAAAATGCTGCCATGTAGCCTTATTGCCAGGCACAAAGCCTACGCATTAAATTACAAAAAATGTTACACAATTTAAATGAATCTCCGGAAGAATTCTATGTATTTAAATTATAATTTTTTATATTTTATTTAAATTATATAATATTACTCAAAAATATTGAATGTAACAGTAATAGTATATCATTTTCATGTCATTTCATTTAATAACTATATAAGTATAGTTTGTCTTACCTATTTATAAGTTTATTATTAAATGATGACATTACGTACCAATGATAATGTTATATCACTGTTATACCTTATATTTATTCACAAAATTGGCATACGTTTCAAGAATGAAATAAATAAAAATTTCAATAAATATTTATCTATTTGTCCGGTTACATTACCAAAATTTCTCTTTATACGTTTCAAAATTTTACATTTTAAAAACAAAACACATATAAATAAAAAATTTATTGTTTATTAGTTTATTTTTTTAAATTAATGATGGCAAAGTATCCAAATTAACAGTTTAGATTAAATTTTGACATGGTATTAGTGGTGACAATCTTAATTCATTACCTATTAATTCATCCAATTTGTCCATAAATAAATGGGTTGGATACCTATATTAATTAGTGAAAATTGTGACTGAGTCTTCCTAGATGGACTTATAATGACTTGAGTTCGTCAAAAAAATTTATTTGGGCGTAAGTTTATTTTTAATCTTATTAGTAAGGTTTAAGTCCACTTTTTTTTAAAAAAAATCTCAAAAATACCCTTAAGAATGTTAGTTTGGTAAGTTATGGAAAGTTGAAGATATTATCTACAATGAGTTATATATGGAGACCAATGATTGAATATAAGAATGTTTGATCTACAATGGTAATTGTCGATTACAAACTTTTTATAATACTTTAAATTCAAATTTTTAGTTATTATTTTGTCTATTATAAATTAAATAATCAGCTTTTAAAATTTGAGACTGATTTAAAAGGGATGAATGTTAAAACTACGAGCTCGAGATTTTGAAAAAGTAATATTACCGGTGCACACTAAGTACTTGATGTTAGCATAGTAACATCAATTTTAAAACATAATTTATTAACACATCAATTTTTTTTTTCATTTTACTATTTTTTATGAAGCATGTTATTACTTTTTCAGTGTTATTTTTTTGGATGTTGAAGAATTGAAAACTTATTCCTCTAGTTATGAGTTTGAATGTTACTATTTTTTATTTTCAATTTTGTTCAATGTTTTATATTGCTATTTTTTTTAGTTGAGCATGTTACTGTTTTTGTTAAGCATGTTATTTTTTTGTTGAACATGTTACTGTTTTTGTTGAACATGTTACTATTGTTATTTTTAAAAAAATATTAATATTAAATGTTACTATTTTTTTATGTTTAAATGCTAATATTTATTTGTGTTTAAATAGTTTTATTTTTTGTGTTTAAATGATAACTTTTTTTTTACATTTGAATGTTACTCTCTCTCTCTCTCTCTCTCTCTCTATATATATATATATATATATATAAATAGATATGAAAGATAAAAAATTTTAATCTTAGTTAAACTCCTAAAATTTAAGAGTTTTTAATTTTTAGTTTTACTTCACTTCTAAAGGGAATGAATAATCTAGTAAAATTTACAAAAAAACAGATTTCATAACAAATAAGTTTTCTTGGCGGACTTAAATCCAAACATGTCCATATAAAGGGACCGACCTCTAAATTTTTCTATTAATTAATATGAATTCTAAATGAGTTGGGTAATATAATTCATTTTGATTAAGTAGGTTAATATGGATTACAAATACCCATGAGTCGACTCACAATTCACAGATCAACCCATACCCCACAATTGACCCGACCCATTATGTGTGTATTTTTTTTTTTATTAAATGTGTTTTAGTTTTTATGTTAGTAAATTTGTGTATTTTTGGTTATTAGTGTGTATGTGTATGTTTGTATTTTGATGTATTATTAATATGTGTGTGTGTGTTTTTTGGTGTACTAATGTGTCTATTAAAAATTTTAATTATTTTATAAATTAATTGGTTAAACCCAACCTGTTATAAATTCAACTCATTATGACCCATTTACTAAGGCTATGTTTGGTAACAGGTTGTTTCCGTTTTTTTTTTGTTTTTGTTTTTAATTTTTACAAAAAAAACTTGTTTGGGGCGTGTTTTTTTTTTTGTTTTTTTTGTTTTGTAAACAGCCCTTGTTTTTGAAAACACATATTTAGGTGCTTTCAAAAACAAGGGAAACCGAAAACATACGCGCGCCTCTCACCCCCAATTAATGAGGTCTCGTCTTCGAACCCATTAACAGCACAAAAGACATTTTTTTTATTCCAGCTATAAAATGACCTTTTTTAACCCTTTTTTATCTCTCGTTCGTCTCTCTCTTGCGAAACGGCTCCATGGATCAACTCAGCCTAGCGAAGGAGCTCCGGCGAAGGAAGCTCCAGCAAGGAAGCACTGATTTTTTCAGATTTTCTACTCTTTCCATCTCCATTTCCATCGATCCCTTTCTCTCTCTAATCCCTTTGTGGAATTATTTTTTTTAGGTTTGGGTTTTCGGTGGTGGTGGGTAAACAGGGGTGGTGGTGGGTTTTTGGTGGTATTGGTGATGGCGATGGTGGCTGGGTGATGGTGCTGAGTTTTTGTGGTATTGGTGGTGGCGATTGTGGTTGGGTGGTGGTGCTGGGTTTTTGGGGTATTGGTTGTGGCGATGGTGGCTGGGTGATGGTGCTGGGTTTTTGTGGTATTGGTGGTGGTGCTGGGTTTTTGGTGGTATTGGTGGTGGCGATGGTTATGGTGCTGGGTTTTTGTGATATTGGTGGTGGCGATTGTGGCTGGGTGGTGGTGTTGGGTTTTTGGTGGCTGGATGGTGGTGCTTGGTTTTTGGTGGTATTGGTGGTGGCGATGGTGGCTTGGTGGGGTGGGTGGAGATGAATTTGGGTGGGGATGTATTTGACATTAAAAAATTAATCAATATAATCCCAATGAATCATAAAAACACTGTTATAATAGGAAACATATTTTTTTTTTATTTTTGTAATTTTTTAAATATAAATAATTACCAACACATGTTTTATATTTTAAATTTTTATCATAGAAAAAACAAAACTCTGTTCTATTTTTTTTTTAAAAAAAACATAAAAACAAAAATGTTACCAAACACTACTTAAGTGAGTAAAAAATAGATTGAATTTATTTTAGTTCAATCTAATTTAATCAAATCCATAACCGACTCAACCTACTCAGTTACCACCCTACGTGGTACTTTCATACTGTTACTGTCTTATCCATTTTTTTTCTTCTCATATTTAAATAACTATTATTTTTGGGCACGTTTTGGATATATTATAGTTCTATTTGTGTATAATAATAGGATTATACTGCTCAGGTACCCAACGGTATCAAACATGATATAAATAAAAATAGATATATAGTATATTTTTATTAGTTGAGAGAAAAAATTAATTTATTAAAGTGTCAATCCAACTTTGTATCCAGTCATAACAACCTTTTCTTTTTCTTATGGGTAAGGCTCAATATCGAAATTGGTACCATATTAAAATGAATTTTGACTGTTAATTTTATTTTGAAAAATTAGTGGCTATTGATTAAAAAATAATAAAATAATTAAATTTTACATGTTTATTGAATAAGAATTGAAGGACTGGTATTAAAAATACGTATTGCAATACTAAAAAATACTTTTTTTTTTATACATGAAAAACACCCCTAACCAGTCAATACATGGATTCCAAGTAGACCACCCTTTTATTTTTGCAATGGAGAAGTGAACTATGAAAAGGGGAGTTATTTAAAAGTAGGGTTATTGACCTGTTTTTTTAATAAAAGCGGGTTTGTTCATACATACTTTTAAAAAAATGTCGTACTTTGATAAATAAATTTTAAAATATCGTAAATTAATAATAAAATTTAAAAAAGGCGACAAATTGGTAAATAACTCATTGAAGAAGCTTCCAAGTCACAATTTTGCCATACTTTCTTGTGAATGTTCGATCATGATCAAGCTTTTATGTCCATTACTATAGCATAGATGATAGAGAAGAGGATGAAGAAGAAGGAAGTGAGGAAACAGAAGCAGCAGCCCCTTTATCAAGTAGCAATTGTGATATATCTTCATATCCCATTGCTCTAGCAATATAAAGAGGGGTTGCTCCTTTATTGCTCTTCACACTAACATTGGCTCCCCTGTTAATCAACACCTCAACCGTGTCGACATTGCCACCTTCCACGGCCAAATGCAGTGGCGTGTGGCCTTCGCCATCCCGGGATTCCATGTCCGCCCCAAACTCAACCAACATCATTACCGTCTCTTTATGCCCTTTGATTGCCGCGGCATGTAGGGCTGTCAAACCATATTGGTCACAGTAATTTACGCTCGCGTCTTTCTCTAATAGGGACTCGAGATGATTTAGCTCTCCCCGTCTTGCTGCGTGTAGCACTGCCTCGCCTCGTTCGAGTATTTGGACCACCTCTTTCTGCATATTCATGAAAACTTGAATTGTGAGGAAAGATAATCTCCGACGATTATGGTGGAATTGAGTGGGTCATTGTAAAGTCAAATGAAAAGTTTCTGCAAGCAATTCCTAATAGGATTCATCACCTGGATATTTTTTTTATTTTAATGATCAAGAGTGTTGAAACAAATTTATCGTGCACTTTGATTAATTTTTTCTTTAATTCGATCAAAAACAAACTATTTACGTTAAAACTAAATTAATCATACCTGATTCGAATAAATTACTCAAATTCGAAGTCAAGAATCACGTCGATATGAAACCAACACTTAATTAACGCATAAATATCCGGCAGTCAGTTGTAAATAGATTAACCCATCATATTCTTTTCATAAATTATTTAAACAATTTTAAGTTTCTCCTTTTTTTTTTTTTTAAGTATGTACCTCTAAATTTTAAGTCTTAAAACTTCTTTTGATTTTTCCGTGACTGTTGATCATAAAAATAATAAATTAAAATGAAATAATAAAATAATATTTTTTTAAAGTGTCAAATTTTATTAAAAAATTATATAATATTAAAACATTATTTTTTAATACGATAGTTAGACCCACATAATAAAATTTAGATTACTAATGTTTTTTTTTTAACAGGCCAAAAGCGAGGGTGCGGTAGTCTCTTGTATTACTCACATGTCCCTTATCTCGTGCAACATCAATGGCTGAGACGCCGCGATCAAGTGTCCCAATGGTGGGGTCCGCGCCCATCTCCATCAGCATCCCCGCCATCCGACGGTCCCCATTGGCCGCTGCCCTATATAACGCCGTCCGACCATCGTTACTCCTCGCGTCCACCTCCGCTCCTGCACTCACCAACACCCTAGCACACCTCTCATTCCCCTTGCTAACCGCCAAATGCAACGCTGTCCTTCCCTCTTTATCCCTGCAATCCAACGGCCCACATTCACCACCTCTTGTCAGCCTCTCAACCTCCTCCGTCCGATCAAACACCGCTGCCACGTGTAACTCTGTCCACCCCTTCGATTCCCATCTCACATCGTTCAATCTCTGGCGTCCGTCACACATCAATCCAGCCTCAACAAGTATATTGACCATGTCCTCTGAGTTATCCAACTCGTTTGCAACTCGTAGCAGTGACTCGGCTTCCCGAGTTGGTAACTCATTTACAATTGATCTCTGCCGTTTGATTATCTTTCTAACAGCATCACAGTCTCCGATACTCACTGCATGGCAGAGAAGAAATGGACCCACGAAAGCAACCTTGAGTTTGAGGTCGTGGATGGACTGTTGTGGAATCGAGTTGAACCAAGTGTTGATGAAATCGGAGTTGATTGACTCGGTCGAGTTACGGGTAAGATCAGGGGCAAGAGCTGTTTTTACGAGGAAACGATCGGAGGGAGAGCGAGGGAAGGTTGGGGGGAGTTGAGATTGGGGCTTGAGGATGACTTGGAAAGTGGTGGAAGATAACGGTGGAATGAGTCCACTCGGCGGGTTAACCAGGAACTTGTGAGGAGATGAGGTTTGAACCTTGAAGGCCACTGGAGCGGTGGGGATGAGTGACTTCAGACGTACGGTGGTTCGGCATTTGCACGCCAGAGCGAAGTCTATGCGCACCTCTTGGTCCGAAACTTCCACAAGTTTCTCCATATAACTGGAGAGAGAGTAAGAGAGAGCTCTACAATGGTGGAAGAAGAGAGAGAGGGAGAGAGTGAAAAAGAGAATTACAAGTCTACAATGTTGGAAGATGAGGGAGGTGTTGATACGTACAGTCTGGCGAACATGTGAAACGGAATGGTGCACGTGAATATGTGGGCCCCAGAAAGAATGACTGTTTAGGACACGATTTTGCTATTTTTCTTTCTTTTTCGGAAGGTGATTTTTGCTATTTCTATTAGGGCCGACAATTTTTGACGAATCGAATATGAAATTAAACAAATTAATTAAAACATGTTAATATAATTAAGTATAAATAAATTATGTTAAATTCATATCAAAATAAAATCAATATGATTTTGATTTAATTAATCCATATATTTTAAATTGATTAACATAATTCGGACACAAATTTGACCTAATTCTTTGTAAACTCGTTTAACCCATTTATGACAGTATAATTTATTTATTATGTATGACTGATGTGATCTTAACATTATTACTTATTAGTTCTTGATTTTATTATGATAATTGAGAGTATAATTTTTAAGTATATTATGACAATATACTAGTATAATTCTTCCTTTAATTTTTGGGTTAAAACTTAGATACATTTTAATTAATTTCATTGATAAGATGTAAAATGTTATTTGTAAAAAATTATTTTAAATTTTAGATGAATGATTGAATGATATATTTAATAATAATGAACTGATGTGAAAATATGTTGTGTATGATAAATAAGTCTGAATTATATGTGTTAAACAAGTTAAACAGATCATGTTATATGTATTAACTCAAAAATAATATATTTATTAAATGTGTCAAATATGTTGAATTCGTATAACCCGTTTAATGATCATGTCATGTTAATATTTATACATTTAGGCATAATTATTAAATATGTTATATTTAAATTTTGAGATTTTTGACACCGACTCAAAATCTATGCGACACAAAATAACTTGACCCAGCCCTAATTTCTACCCATTCCATAGGCCAGGAATAAACTTTTTGGTTCATAGGTTTATCCCGGGTGGGATTTTGGTACGGAATTGTGTACGTGTGCTTTGGTGAAATAAAGACAAGAGTAAATTACGCTCGTACCTCGTAACATTTGATTTTGTTATATGGATAACCACTCATTTTTTAAAAATACAGTTGCACCCCTTTTGTATGACAGAGGACAAAACAGGAAGAAAAAAAAAATATGACATCATCAAAAAAAATAAGTGAAAGATTATGGTGCTGTTTGGTAACTTGCCCTATTTTTGTTTTTGTTTTTAATTTTTGGGACAAATAAAAATAAAAATAAAAATATGTTTGGTTAATATATATATATTTTTTTGCTGATCTACTTTTGAAAACTATGGTTGAAAACTGGCATTGTTTTCAAAAACATCTAAAATAATATTTTTAAAAATAACTAAAAAAAAAACAGGTGGAAGGAAAGAGACCATTTAATGAAATTTGGACTTTGAACCTCATTACCAACAAAAAATTTATTTTTTTCCCTCCCCGTGTAAAAAGGCCAACTCTTTCCTCTTCTCTCTGTCTCCCTCACGAAGCATGAGAAGGAGTACAGATCTAAACCAATTTTTGGTGATGGAGGTGGGTTTTGGTGGTGGAGTTGGGG